GCAGAGGCTATCTGATTCACCTACCCTTATAGACGCATCATCGAGACGCGAACGATCGATCGTTATCACTACCACGCCGGCTCGACAGTGACGGGCGATTCATTGCTGCTACTGCGTGCCCCTTTTATTCACCGGTGCAGATCAAAATCGGCTTCACCTTGAAGGACAGCGTGCTATCGGGAATACCCTCCATGTGCTATTTCTGACGGATTCCTGTTTCTCTCGACGCTTGCCCCTACGCCGTTTGATCCTCGCGATTGTCCTACACTCGACCAAGCTGGTGGTGAACTTGGAATCTCAGCACAGCAAAGGGTCAATACCGCAATCATGGATGACTATCTAGATGCCCCCATGGATGCGGACGATGTGTTCCCATGCAAGGGATGCGGAGAAGTAAGCTTCCCATCTAGCCAGGTTACTGCTTGATCAATGCTGACCGCCCTGTGATAGATCTTGGAAGAAGGCAAAGCATTCGAGCTCGGTATGTTACCTTTATACCTATATCTATAGCTTTCTTTAGCTCGCTGGGCATATCAATCTCTCGGGACACCTGACGGTATCCACGACAGCATGAGCTTTCTGGAGCGAATGTGTTGGGTGTTTGTTCTACGTTACTGACTGACTATATCACAGCTGGAAACCGATGGCATCTCGATTGCTTCCGTTGTAACACATGCAACACGCTCCTTGACTCGGATGCGAACCTCCTTCTGCTTGGAGATGGGTCGCTGATCTGCAACAACTGCACATACAGCTGTAGTGCTTGCGGTAATAAGATTGAGGACTTGGCCATCCTGACCGGAGACCAGGCCTTTTGCGCAACATGCTTCCGCTGTAGGAATTGCAAGAGAAAGATCGAAAACCTGCGCTACGCCAGGACGGCTCATGGGATATTTTGCATGAATTGCCACGAGAGTCTAATGGCACGAAGACGCAAGAAAGCAAAAGCAGCAGCTCAAGCAAAAGCTCGAGACACCGACAAGTCCCTTCCTGCGCTACCGCCAAACGCTGTGCCCCCTTCTAGCACAGGTTTCGCAGCCGAAAAGCTTGCGGCGGACTCAGATACCCCTACCGAACTATCACCACGACCTCGAAATGCTTATGGACGGCAGGACTCATCGTCGCGGAGCAGTTCGCGGCCTGACCGCTCCCCTGAAAGATCGGCGGAAACGAACAAGGAAACGGTGCTGGCCCCGCCAGCGCCAAACTATAGACACAACCGCAACTCAACCATGTTATCTGCTGATCTTAACGGGGGAGATGCTGAGGACTTTTTTATTCCTGTCGCTCTTGACCAGAGTCCCGCGCCGTCGATGACGCCTCAATCTATGGCAGACACATTTTCTTCAGACACGAGCCGGAAAAACAAAGATTACTTTGGCTCAACCAGGTCAAACGCTGTCCAGCCAGAGAGGAATGAATCGTCGACGACTCCAACACCCCACATCGCATTGATGGCTCAGATGGCCCAAGAGAGGCAGCCGTCGTCTGACTATGAAAGTCCCCCACAGGAGCGGCCCCCACCCCGGAAGCTCTCTAGAGCGGCCGATGTGATCGGGAATACAAAACCGGCCCATATCGCTAGCATCCTGGCCGAAGCCTACAACCAGCAGCCCAACAACGAGGACTTTAAGCTGCAGAATGTCCCCAAAAGCAAGAGGCTTGTGAGTACCCGGAGCGAATCTCAAGCAAGCAACAGCATCGAGAATGGAACTGCGCAACGGAATAAGGAGAGTCCTGAGCCCCCTTCAACCATGAGTCCAGACAGGGTCATGACCCCTAGATCCTCTCAGGATTCTCGTCCCAGGGATGCCATGAGCGATGAGATACGGCCGTCCAGCGACTCTGTGACCTCGCGCTCAGAAGTCTCGAACGCTGGGCGATCCATTCCGCGGAAAGAGGTCCCGCCTCCCGCATCCAGAAACTGTACGTCCCCGTCTCAGTCCCGTCTAATTGTATCAGCTGTGTTTACTGACGTGTTGCAAGTAGCCGATGGCAAACCTCTGCCAGTTCCTGGGTCGAACCCTACCGAGGGTCCTGCTCTCCCGATGCGTCCCCCGCCGCCTGAGACGAAGCTCAGTAACACGTATATGCAACCCCGAGCACCGCCTTTACCTCCCACTCAGACCCAGACCCCCAAAAACCAGTCTACAACAAGTGGTGAAGTCCAGGAGCTGAAACCATCCCCCAAGCTGCCTAGGTGGAGCTCTGGGGTTGAGTTCAGCCTGGATGAGGATATGGCTAGGATACTAGGAACAGATGAGGGCTCATCGTCGATCCTCCGCCGGGTTTCGAACGTAGTACGACATGGACGGAACAGCAGTGGTGATACAGGCGCTACTCCTGGCAGAATTTCTCACAGTAGGAGCGTGAGCGAGACCACCCGAGGAACTACTTCGCCCCGTTGGCCGAGAACTCCGATTGTCGAGGACTACTCAACCGGTAATATTAACGATATAACAAGTCCGTTGTCTTTAGCTAGTACGACCCAGGATGATCCAGCCTATCTGAAGCGGCAACTCAGAAGCTCCGAGCAACGGGTGGCAGAGCTGGAGCGACAGTTCAACACGGAGAAAGATCTCAAGAGTCTCAACAAGAAGCTGATCGAGAAGAGGAAGACAGTTTCGGTGCTTGACACACAGACTGAGATCATGATCAGGCAGCTTGAGGTACTGGCCGGGTATGTTGAGCGCGCAAAGAAGACTAACGAGTCGTTTGACGCTCGCGAGTTGGAGGAGTCCGCAATCAAGGAGTTTGTCCAAAAGCTAGAACGTCTCAAGCACAACATGACCTCTGCGATCGAGCAGCTCATCGCTGAGAGAGACGATTTGGTGGAGGAGAAGAACCAGGCCATTGCCGACCGTGATCGCGCTCTGCTCGAGTTTGAGCAGCTCGCTTCCAAGAACGCCCAGTTGACCGATATGAACAATGATCTCACTCACCAGATCCAGGAGAGATTCAAGCAGCAGATCAATAACGGCGAGCTCAAGTCAGCCAATGGTTTGGGTATTTACGGCCATGCCAAGGGTTCTTCGCTCAACATGGACTCCTCGAGCTTGCAGACAGCTACGACCATGGTTGGTCCTGATATGGACGATCAGCTTGTGGAAGGCCCTACCGTGGTGAACATCCGCAAGGGCCAGGTCAAGAAGTTCAACTGGAAGAAGGGCTCCAGCAAGGTGGCGCACAATATCTCGAAGGGTATCCGTGGTGCGGCAGGCGCATTCCAAGGACAGGAAGGAACCCAGAGGCAACAGCAGCAGCAGCAGGGCCCCTTGAACGGAGACAACATTGGCCTTCCTTATGCCATGACAGTTGCCCAGGTCGAGGCTCCGGTCACTGTCGCTCCTCCACCAGCCAACACCATCAAACCTGTGATGGTTGAGAACGCGCGGCAAGGTGGAGGTGGTGGTGGTGGTGGTGGAGGGTTTGGTTTCTTCGGTGGCAAGAAGCCGAACGCGCAGCAAAAGTCGATGTCGGTGACCAATATCTCTACTCCTGCGGTTGCAGAAGCCCCCACTACTCTCTTCGGTTCCGACCTGATTGAGCGGACTGAGCATGAACGCCGTCAGATACCAAGCGTAGTCACCCGCTGTATCGAGGAGGTTGAGCTTCGTGGTATGGATCTCGAGGGAATCTACAGGAAAACCGGAGGCAACTCTCAAATCAAGATGATTCAAGAGGGCTTCGAGAAGCAGCAAGATTTCGATATTTCCGACCCGGAGATCGATATTACTGCTGTGACAAGCGTCCTTAAGCAGTATTTCCGCAAGCTACCCAACCCATTGCTGACGTTCGAGGTGTACGAGAGGGTCCTTGACTCGAATAGTAAGTCCATTCTCTACCAAATTTGACTGACGGGCATAGACAGATACTAACCCAGTACCCTCCACAGATATTCAAGACGTAGAGGAGAAATGCGCTCACCTCAAGAAAACGGTCAACATGCTTCCGCCAAAGCATCGCGACTGTCTCGAGTTCCTCATGTTCCATCTTGCTCGAGTAGCGAGCAGAGAACGCGAGAATCTGGTAAGTCTGCCGTTCTGCCGGTCTCTTTTCCCTTCACTCAGAACATTCGGCTAACTAGCTCCCGTTAGATGTCACCCAAAAACTTGGCTGTGGTGTTTGCGCCCACCATCATGAGAGATCACAGTCTCGAGAAAGAAATGACGGACATGCACGCCAAGAATAATGCCGTGCAGTTCCTGATCGAGAACAGCGCGCTCATCTTTGAGGAATAGGAGGGAGTTGGCGAGCGCGTGAGCGTGGCGTGGGCGAACTGAAGACGGACGGGAGAGTCTATTCTTAAACATCAAATGACTTATACATGGTTTGTATATACTGATGATATATTTTGGTTTTCTCTCGAGGTTGGCCGAAGCGACTAGGCTGTGCGCTTGTGGAAGCATGGAAGACGTGGAAGGACTCGATTGGCGTTGTGTTTCTCTTCTCATGGAAGGCTCGTAGGGCCTCTCCGCACCGTATCTTTCCAGTCCAAGCTTTGGGGCTTTCTTGCTCTTTGGTGATCTGAATAGTTGGGCCAAAAGAAAAATGAAAAATGGTATTATGACTTGGTAAAAGAAGGATAAGGGTGGTCTGCAGTGGTTTTGCGTGTGTCTGTGGGGCTGGAAAGGTTCGGTCTGATCGTCTACAGTCGGATGAGATCAAGCCTGATATGAGTTGATATGTGGAATGGCACAAACCATTGGCCTCTGAGTTGAATGAGACGGATCTTTTTATATGATTATTGGGGGCAACTCGTGGCTGTCCGTGAGTTAGCTGTGCCATTTTCACTTCCCTCCGCCCTTTTATCCGACTATGTTCGCCTCTTCGAAGTAGATCACTTGGCTTTTGATTCATGATATGCGTTCCGTGATATGGTTTCTTTGGACGCGCAAAGGTAATCGGGAAAGTCGGATACGGACGTCGCGGCTCGGTCTAATATATAATATCACGATCGTGTTGGTGATCGACTGTCCTCATGGCCGCATGAAGCAAAGATGATGAAACTCTCGTTCATTCTTTAAACACACACATGAATAATTTGACTGGCCTTCTCAATGACATTACAATCGCACTTTCTTTCCTTCCTCTCTTTCCTAGGCCGGGTATCATTTCTTTCACAGACGCAACTTTTTGTCAAAAAATCCCACCAACATCCACGCAAACATGGTAGACATGGGCACAAACTCATCTCCCAACAGACCAACAGACCAACATTGTCCAGCCCTCCCTTGCCCAACTCGCCCAACTCGCCCAACTCGCTTCCGAGCACTCCTCCCTCCCTGTAACACATCGGTCCAAGTCCAGGTCCAACCAACCTCCACAACCGCGCTCTTTCCACTTAGTTTTCACTGCCCAACAATCCTCTTAACCTTATCCAACAACAAATTCCCCTGTCTGCCAAGCTTCATCTTCCCATCCCTCGCTCCCGGCTGCCTCGCCTTGGCCATTTGCTTGCGATACTTCTCTCTCTCGGCGATCCGCTGGCGCTTCTCCTCCTCGCGCCGCGCAATCTCGGCCGCCCGCTCTTCGGCCTGCTTCTTCTTCTTCTCGGCCAGCGCTAGCTCCTTTTCGTAGTAGTTTGGTTTGCGGTGGCGTTTGGGAAGGCGCGAGGGGTGCATGTTGGGGTCCATGGGTGGGGGGATGTAGACTTCGTCGTCGTCTTTTTGGATCGTGGTGGTGGGTGGGGTTGTTGTTGTTGTTGGTTCTGCTGGTTCTTCTCCGTTGGCATCGTTATGTGACGATTCTTCGTTGGCTGTCTGTTGCTGTTGTTCGGCTCTAGCTGCTTTGGCGGCGGCGCCTTTCTCGACCAGGATTTGCCGCGAGGGGTGGATGGGCGCGGGGGCGTCTACATCTCCCTGTACCTCGTCGTCGTTCTTGTTGTTGTTGTCGTTGTCCTCCTCGGTGACACGGGCATCTAGAACGGGCCCGATGGGAACACCGGGGGCAGCTGCGGCTTCGGCTTCTTTCTGGGCTTTGATTTTGGCGTATTGCTTCTTGACTTTGGCCTTGGTGATGAGCTCCTTCTTGATCTTGGTGACTAATTGACAGGAATTTGTATGTTAGTCTGTATACGGGCGAAACGGGATTCTGTAGAAAAAGGCGAAATGGTAGTAGCTACCTTTGCGCTTCCACGCTCCATCCGGGAGGTTCTCAGGACCAACACGGAAGCCGTGCTTGGCCTTCTTCTTGTCGGGGGCGCCGGTTGCCGGGTCCTCGTCGCGGGCTCTTTTGGGCGCCATGTTGTTGGATGTCAAAGTTTGTTTGTCGGTGATTGAAGGATGTAAGGGCGGAAGTATCCTGGTCTGGGAAATTAACGGGCAATGAGATGGTGGATAGATGATGCTGGCCTTTGGGTGTTACGTTCGGAGGAAGCTTTTGTTTTTTCCTCCTAGCTTTACCACTACAAGATAGAAATCTACTGATAAGCTGCCCTTGTTCGTTATCGCTACAGGCGGTAGAATCTGGCAGAAGAACTGGGCGGTCAGTTGGTGTGGGGCTTAATGACAGGGGCTACCGGACTAACATCCACATGACGCCGGATTTGGCCAGTTTCGGTTGCATTATCTTCAGAAGTCCAGGAACACCTCGATGCTTCGGTACCGCCTGGCGGTTACTCACTAACTGTGGTGTGCTTATCCGTCCCGCCTTTACTGCCCATCGCTGCACTGCCATCTCATAAAACTGTCACTGGTCCCTTCCGTCCCGTCTTTACTGCATACCGACCTCTACCAGCCAACACCTCGTCACCGGTTGCAACAAACTGAGCCTACGGCTCGCAGCGTCACTGGCTTTCAAGATTTAAAGCTCTGCAAGTGAAGTCCCAGAAGAGACATAGGCGTGGCGCAAGTCTTTGTTCTCGACGTCTAAAGGCTATGACCTGTACATAGATCCTTGTCTGATCTGCCTTTTCTTTCGAAACACAGACATATCGTCCGAACAAATCGACCTAGTCGATTATACCGAATAGCACCCTCATTACTCGAGCAAAGTGCTATGGTGCTTGACTCGAATTCCGGACCCATCCAGCTTCCACGACCTTCCGACTATGATGATATTTGCGCTCTTCTCCGCCACCGCGACTTAATCACCACACGGTCCAGGTCTTGTGCATGTCCGGACTGATCCTCCCATCTCCCTGATAGGTCTTGGATTTACGAACTTCCTCCACTCCCCCGATTATCCGGCCCAGCAGAATTCCAACACAGTTCATTGTTGATGGTTGGAATCATGGAAAGTGTTTCGATATAGACTGCCTAAGATCCGTGCTGCTTCAACTCTTGGATCGGCGCGGAATTTGATTCTTTAAAGAGCACAGACGTCCTTCACCGCATTTTTAGTTTTTCTTTGAATCCCATAGTATCACTTTATGATGCCCTTTTCCCGAGACTTGTCGGATCAGGGCCGCCTGGTTCACGTCTCTCATGCGGAGATGCCGGAGGCCACTAATCTTATACAGTCCCATCTTATGACGGCCTCCCCAAAGTCGTTGTCTCGCCGCGTCTCTGAGGAGAGCATCAGGACCGAATTCTGCGAGGGGCCAGTCGACAGCCCGTATAGCCCAGCCACTCCTGAGAGGAAGCTCCCCAGTGCCTTGGTGTATGATCGAGCCGAGCTCATTCATCGCTTGAAGAGGAAAGAAAGTCCAACTTGGGTGCCCGGTCGCCATGTACGTTTCCATATCTAGGTCTGGCTGTTATGCCCTCCTGCTCTACTGACATGCTTGCAGGTTGAGTCCCGGCTCTATGAAGACGAAGTACAGCCATCCCAACAGATACCTCAGACGTCGATTTCAAACGGCTCATGCTTGCTTCCCCCGCCTGCAATTGCCGAAGAGAAACAAGATGGCAAATGGGGTCTAACGGATGTAAAGGCTGCTGGACAGCTCGAGTCCGGACTTGGCATCGAACGCCCACGCTCTGCCCTTCACAGCGGAGATTTTACACCAGATGATCAAACGTCCGATCCACGAGACAGACAAGATGCTACTCAGCCACGGGAATCCCATGACTTCAGGCATTTCAAAGACTCATGGACCTCCAGAGACCCTACGTCGTTGCCCTTTTCACGGCAGGTAATGGATTATAGAAAGGAGGCATTTGGTTCACCCTCTTCCTCACTTTCTTCATCTCTCTCCACAAGTTTTGCTTACAAACTCCCCACCAGTCCTTTGGTGCATACAGAAAGTCGCGAGGATATTGAATCGGAGACATCTTCGGATGGGATCACCTCCGGATCCCCCAATTTGCGAAGACATACAATAAACTGGGCTCAAGGTTCTTCTCTGAGCCACGGAGGCATGTCAAGGCATACGCCGCCACACAGAGAGCGTGCGCTTCCATACCAAGCACATCAACCCCGTCGCTCATTAGCGTCGCTGTCAGGCCTTTCGATACCAAGCTCTTCCCCTCAAACGCCTTCCATGTTTCGATCAAGGCGTCTATCTCACAGCTCCGAAGGCTCTCCCCTACAGCATGCATCAATGGTTGGGTCTTATGAAGAAAGTATTCTCAGGGGACGAATGTCAACGACGCCTTCCAAACCCTTGGAGTTCATGGCGCAAATTGGCGTCCTAGGTCTTGGGAAGTGCAAGCCGAACTTGCGTTGCCCATCTCATGTCACTTTGCCATTTTCAGCTGTCTTTTATCGTTATTCCAGCACTGTCCATGGCAGGAGTAAAGGAGAGGATGGGCCGAGTCCCTACGTGGGCCAAATCGACCTGGAGAACGGATTGCCGAATCCAGAGGAGTTGCAACGGTCCAAACGGAAGCAACAATCAAGGCATGCCGGACGAAAGTCACCAGATGACGACCGAATTGTTCATGATATTGGGGACGAAGCTTTAGGGGGCGATGGTCAGAGACTCGAAAAGACTAAGAAAACGTCACGGTCTCCGAAATCGCCTCCTGGTGGCTCATACCGCATTCCAGAGAAGGGACAACTCCAGATCATCATCAAAAACCAGAACAAAACAGCTGTCAAACTCTTTCTGGTTCCATATGATCTGACAGGCATGGAAGCGGGCACAAAAACGTTCATCCGCCAGCGGAGCTACTCTGCGGGGCCCATCATTGACGGTCTTAAGAGTACGGTGCCGGACGGCCCTCCTATTCTTCGGTATTTGATCCATCTTCATATTTGCAGCCCGTCAAAAGGTCGTTTTTATTTGTACAAGGACATCAGAGTCGTATTTGCCAATCGGGTCCCAGATGGCACTGAGAAGCTTCGCAACGAAGTTACATACCCAGAGCCGCGGTACATGCCATACAAAGCGTTGCGAACAGGTCATATATCGTCTACGCCAACCAATAACGCTATCGCTACAAAACGGTCGCAGCATGCTCCGAGTTTGGCTGCCGGTAGACGTGATGAGAACCAATCCCACATCCGCCAGCCAAGTCAAGACGCAGGATATCTCAACACTTGTCTCCATCTCCCCCGACCAGCAGCCATAGCGGCTGACGGTGATGCCATGACCGGACTTGAGCTGACGGAACCTCCAGCTCTGTTGGGTAGATACGACAAGCTCAACAGGGGAGACGTTGGATATGGCGGTAATCCTTTTGGCCATGTTACAAATGGGCGCCCTGGGTCGGCAGAGAGTCTTCTATCAAAGCGGCTTCGGTCATTGGGTGTACAGAGTCTTGTGGCAGATGATGCAGCAGAAAATGTGGTCAACGGACCGGTCAGCATATTACAGGAACGACTGGAGAACGGAAGCCGAGATGGTCCATACGTTCCCGATTTTGGAAAACCAGTTGGGAAGGGCGAAGAGAGACATTGCGTCGGCACCATGTAGTTTTGGATGAGCTCGGATGAACTGGATTGCACGATATATACTTGACTTTTATACATGAAGCTGTACGCCGAGTGTACTTAATGTCATGTAGATGCGGAAGTACTGTAAGTGTACTTAAATGCAGGTACCCCTGACCAATGACGAGACTATGTGGGGTGAATTGGTCGAACCCTGGCTCTTCAAGCTGCGACCCTGAACACTCTGGTGGAGCACGGTTAAAGAAGTGACCATTATCGCCCCACTTAGTCGCGATTGGCAGGCGGTAAATCACTGCAGTAACATGCGACGGTAGGAAATTCCCAGAAAGTCGACGAGTGAAGCTTCAATTCCAACCAGTCGATCGCGAAACCGAAAGGTTTCATCCACACCCAAATTTCGACTTCAAGAGGAGTCATTGATTCTTCAGAATGGGAAAACGGCAGTTCAGAGGTGCAGAGAATGGGGACGGGCCGCGCAAAAGGCAACGCGTCGTCCACGAGGCTCCCACCTCCGAAGTGATACACACCAGTCGTCAATTGAGGCAGCTCCTCGCCTTTGACCCAGACCTTGGACGTTCGAGACATGGTAGGAACATACCTCTACACTACCCCCCAATCCGTCATTACTCACAAGCGCTAACTCTATGCAGGACTCCAATCGTTTAAGCTCCTTCTCGATTCTCTACTATCCCGCGATGACAATGCCGACAGTGCTGAGAAACGCCAACAGCATGAAGCACGATTCACAATAGTCAAGGAATATCTGCAGTCCACGAAACCGATTGAGGACGACGAAAGCTCTACGTACCTCCCAGATATCATGCAAACATGGAGTCATGCCGGCCAAGTCAACAACGAGAACCTCCTTTCTGCTGTACCGGTCGTCCTCGCGCTACTTCTAAAGCTGCTATCCCAAAGCCTTGAGCTTACGCCAATTGGATTGGGAATTTGCAGGACCTTTTTGCAAAAACGCCAGCAAGAATTGATATCCCGCAGCTTGTCCGCCGACAAAGGAAAGGCTTTCATTATCTCGCCCACCCTGCGTATGCTCAGGGAGGCGGTATGCTTCGATGGGGGTGCTATTGCTCGGCCAATGTTCCGCGCTAGAGTGTCGATGCTCAAGTCATTGGCACGAAATATGGGGATTGTTCACATCGGCGAGGAACCTGAGGACATCAAGAAGCCTTCTCCACGCACAAATGCTGTCCAATTCTTCCTGAGCGCCCTCAAATACTTGCATCCCGAAGCCAAAAAGGAGCTACTTACGCAAAGGGACGTTGTTACTGCCCTCACGAGGGATGTCAAGCAAGATCTACCTTACTTGGTGCTAGATCTTCTCAACGGATTGAGGGATCATATCTTACTTGACAGCAAGGTTCCCCGAGAAGCCAAGTCCAATCTGCTCAGTTCCACGACATTGATCAAAATCTCGGGGCTATACTACTATCGTCAGGCTAACGACGATCTCCCCTCTATACCAGACGCTGCTCATGATTTTCTTATGACCGCGTGCACCAACCCATCGTGTGGTGTTCTGAGACAGGATACCGGACTGTATCCCAGAGAAGCGGATCCGAACGCTGCTATCCCCAGCGCAGACCTTGAAGAGCTCGGACTGGAAGCTATTGTGTGGATGAACAAGTTCAAGACAGAAGTTCCCGTCCGCAACTTTGTTCTATCAAACTTGCTCCAAAATCTTCGCCCATGGTCAAGCGTTAAGCAGAGTGAGCTGATCACTTCGATTTTCAAGGTTGCGCCCGAGTTGATCGCCGATTTCTTCATCAAGAACAAATCTTTTACCTTCGAACCAAAGCTGTCTGCGACATGGATTGGATATGCAGCATTCTTGTTCAATACGGTAGCACTGCCGTTGCCTGAGTACTTTTGCCGTGGGTCTGGCTATGCCGAACTTCCTCCCCCGACATCCATCGTCATGGATAACATCCTTCCTATTCCCTTGAATCAAAAAGCACTCAGCCGCTGCTTAACGAACAAATCCAGGATGATCTCCTTCTTTGCGACCCGAATTCTCATTCTGGCGGTGCAGAAGCTCGATACAGCTGTTAAAATGCACCAAGACCCAGCTCACAGCTCGAAATCTCACAATAATCAAGCGCTCTGGACGGACGCAGCGCGCCGGTTAGTTGACGAGTTCTGCCAAAGGAGTCCAGGCATCAAGGAGATGATAAACTCGTACAGATCTATCCCAGAGGACGATATTTTGCACCGCGAGGCTGCTAGTCAGCTGTTACGCTTGTACTACGAGGTCATCCCGCAGGTCGCGCTCATGGCCAAGTTCGACGTCTCCCCACTACTAGAGACAGCGCTTAAGAGATTGTCCAAGCAAGAAAAACAGAAGGAGACTCGCTCAGAAGAGGATGGTGAGGATGATCCTCGTGACTTTGCGCTAAGCCTCAAAGAACTGGAGAATCTCCTGGCGATTGCAGGATATTCGCCTGGCATGAGGTGGTTTGCGGCGACTGAGCAGCTTACTCTGTCACCGTTTACAACCCTGCTGAAGGTCTATGTCGAGGCACCCCATGGCGTTTCGTTGGCACCAGTACGGCAAGTTCTTGACTTTGTAGCGGTGGAGCAGCAGGTTGTCCCGGCAAAGGATAAGGGGCACCCTGGAATTTCCGTTCTTCTTGAGACTCTCAAGGAGCTCATGGCGTCGTCTCCTTCATCTCTTGCCGTCTTGTGGCCTTTCTTGGATAAGTGCCTCACTCGCTGCACAACGGCACCGGTCAAGTATCTCGAGATGCTGCAGGATCTTGGGGCCAAAGATGCAGAGGATGAGGTACTTACTGTCAGCCCGTTGGTTGCTGCTATCATCGAGCAACTGCCTTTTGCTGCCAAGGCGACGGACTCCAAGAGTACACTCGATGGACTCAGCCGTTTCTTGCCAAAGTTGCTCGGATACTCGGCTGCTGCTGGAGAGAGCAAGCCTCTGCTTGAGGCTGCGCTTGCGGTCATGTCCGAGTCCTTTGCCAAGGGACTTGGGAAGTCATTAACTGTGCCCAAGAAACACCCCTTCAAGCAAGCAAAGGGTGGAAAGTCGACCGAAGCCAAGCAGGACACGAACAATACAACAGCGGAAGGGAAGAAACCGGAGTCTGGTGATGACGTGGCCGCCTTGGACAGCGAGCAGTTGGAGCGTGTTCTCGATCTTCCAGACAGTCTGACCGCCGATAATTCGGCACTCGTCAAGTGGCAAAACAAGTCAGTGGACGAACTCGTGGACGAAGGTCACGCCATTTCCCTCATCAGCCTGCTTGCCTCTGAGCACGCCAGTATCAGGAAGGAAGCGCTCGTCAACATCCTCAAAATGGCAGCCAAGGTCCAGCAATCAGAGTACGAGGAGAAGGAGCAGATCTGGTTATTGCTGTCAGAGCTCGCCGAAACCGCCAAGGTGGCAGCCGCAAGCCAGGCCGTCAACGCAGTGGCGCCGCTCCCGAGCACCATCATTGCTTTCGCTTGCCATGCCGTCAACGTCTTGCGTGACCCGACACACAGCCTCTATCCCAAGATCAACTCCTTCCTCACAAGGGGGCCCTTCTGGAGCGTGGACAGAGTGCCGCTGGCGGATGAAGTCTTGACCGAGGAACCCGCGGTTGGCGATTCGTACTATGCGCAGCTCAACTGGCTGCTGGCATATCTCCTGGACGGCCTTAGGACATCCAAGGACTTGGAACTGTTCCACAAGAAGAGGGCAAAGGGCCCGCTGTTTGAGCGGTTGTTGGCGGTAGCAGGAAACCCGTACATGAGGACGCCGCTGAGAATGCAGGTCCTAAGGATACTGTACCGAGCGTCCAAGATCGAGGGGGGTAGCACAACGCTCGTCACAAGGTTTGGCGTGGTTAGTTGGCTAGAGGAGCTATTGAAGATGAAGAAGAGCATGTCGGCGACGCAGAGTCAAGGTGGAGCAGGCACTGTTGTCAGCTCCGAGGACGAGGTTGCGGTGTATAAGGGGCTACTGAAGCGGATTTGGGAAGCCTGTGATAAAGGAAGGGTTGAGGGGTGGAGCAAAGGGGGTGTTGAGAGTGTGATTGTCTAGAGTATCTGAAGGATGGAACAATCACAAATGATTGTGCACTTTGGTTTTCCAATGAATCCTCTATAACGTCGAGTCTTTGGCGTATATACTCGGTGGTTATTGCTTTCAAATATTAATGTGATGCGTAGACAAACTTGGAGCATAGGGTTTTTCTGCCACGGGATATTGCAGTCCTTTATAATCTAGGTTAACCTCCCAGTTCTCCTCGAAAGATATGTACACAATCCGGAGTCGTACATATGTATCGAATTGTAAAAGGAGAAGTAAAGGGGTAAATAATTATAATGGGATCCCGGTCTAGGAAGACCAGGAGGCTAATGACGACAGCTGGCAGCAGCGAAATCGGCCTCCAATTTGCACCATTATAATAGAGCTTTGCCCAACACGAACAACACCATCTCGCTGCTGTGAATGGAATCCGTTTAAACAAGGAGTTCACCCCGTCAAGGGACACAAAGGCTGGACTACAAGGCCTGCAATAGACAAGATTGTTATGTTGAGGAGTGGTGAACACACCTCGGGAGGTGAAAGGCGCTTGGGCCACAAAGCTCACAAAGGAACCTACAAGGCCCGGCTTCCATGGACGACGATGATATATGGAAGAATGAAATGGCAGTGTGACAGGCTCACAGGTTCTGGATGGTGAAGTGGCAGCACTAAAAGCGGTCTTAGATGGTTTTGTCTGAAATGCAGCGGCGATGACGGGACTCCTGGGCCAAAACTTCAGCAGCTGAGAAGGAGGGGAGTCCAGCCCGAGCCCGAGCGGGCTATGGCGGGCAGCCGGGCAGCCAGTGCCCACTGGGCAGGCCCAGCCAGCTGCTTGCCTGTTCCAGTTTCGCCAGGAAACACCACCCTCGTCCTCCACCTCCACCTCCGCTCGTGCCTCCTTCGCCCTCCCAGTCGGTCTCCCGTCCAGCCCGTCCTTGCCCTGAACCCCCATCTGGTTCTGCGCTGTCCCCATTCCAGTTTTACCACACTGCACTTGTGACTTGCCTCTCCATTGTCATTTACGCCCCTTCTCTCCGCATCGCAACCTGAACCTGAAGCAACAAGAGAACGGTTTCTACTCTATTTTAGCCACCGGCCTTCCAGAACGCATCACAAAACCATAACAACAGTACTATCACCTGTCGAGAACACTACCGTCATCTGCGGCCCTCCCGCAATTTAAAGCATCGTTTTCAATCCCGCCGCATTGCTCCTGCCAGTCTCACTCTCCTCGCAGTCTCTGTTGGCCCACCAGCAGACGTAGCCGGAGCAGTGAAGCCGGCGAGCAGCCAGCCGCAGCCTCCATCATCCCGTCCGTCATCTAACCCCCTCCATCCATCCACCTTTGTCCTCGTGCACAGTCTGCACAACCTGCACCTACCGACCCGTCTTCCGCAACATATCCCTCGACCCGACTCGAGCTGTCGCCGCGCCGGTTCCCTCGACGAATAAATATCACTGGATTGCGGCATTGTGCCGCTAGGACGCCCGCCTCCTCCTGCCTGTCACCGACTTGCTGTCCTCCCCTTGCCATCTGCGGATGCTGGTGAAGCTACCACCTACAGTCGATGGTCCTTGCATAATATAAAACCACAATACCATGGCAGCAGTGCAATACTCGGCAGAATATCTGCTGTATCTACGGCAGTCGCCATTATGCGTTAAGCCTCCCGGACTCCCTCCCGCTGAGGAGTGGATGGGGTATGTTCTCCCAGCTCGGCCAGGCGATGGGCGCACATGAATGGTTACGCATTATACATGTGCGCCCTGCAAGGAATTCCTCGGACACTCTGGCTAATCCTTCATAGACCGCCTCCAGAGACAGGCCGCAATAGCCAGGCCAAGACCACAAATGACCGCATCAAAGGCGGGGACAGTTTTCTTCTTAACCAAGAAAATAGACGTCCAGCGCTGGATCGTAACGGTTCACGCAACACAACGAGTACGCTTTCTCCCACTCCCGTATCTTTGGGTTCGGGATGCAATTATGTGATCTCATGATGGATCTCTTGCTGACCCTATCAGATCCTGAGGACATTATCCTTGGACCTCCCAGAACAAGCTTCGCATCCGCCACAACTTTGCGCAATAACAGGACCTCTGACGCCGATAAGGGACTGAAAGATAACGACCGACAGGATCGGACGGATCGATTCAACTTCCGCACGCGCACCAATGACTCGGAAAGTACCAACGACCGGTTTGGTAACGGGCGAAACAGCGCATTCCGCCGCCGTGGGGATGATCAGGACAGGGACAGCGAAGGCTGGACTCCGGTCAAACCCCGCAAGAGCTTTGGTACTGAGGGCGCAGAGCGATTTCAGGGTCGCATGGGCGCCGCCGGAGAGCGTTTTGGCGGCTCCCGCGATACCCAGACTAAAGATGTTTCGGATCGCCGTAACCGGGCCCAGGACCTCAGGGACAAGGACGGCGAAGACATTGATACACCTCGCAGGAACGGCTTGTCAAGGGGCAAGACCGATTCGTGGTTCAACAAGGAGAATACGAACAGCAGCGACAACAATGGCGCTTCTCTTTCTGTGAGGGAACGCATTGACAGGTCCAAGAGTTGGCGTGATCGCGAACCCGAAGATCGGCAGAACGACAGATATGGCGACCGAGCTGGTGGGTATGGCGGAGGAAGATATGATCGTGACCGTGACCAGCGCGTTGAGCGCGACCCTGAATGGCTCGATGAACCCGTTGAGCATAAGTCGCAGGGTCATACGGCCGAGGATTTCAAGAAGTTCATGGAAAGTATGAAGAGCAAACATGGCGGCGGGCCAAAGGCCGAAGAGAAGGCCCCTGCGCCTTTGCAAACCAATCTGCCCGAGCCCTCATTTGAGGCAGAGAGGGTGTTGTCTGCACCTGCTCTCGAAACTGGTCCAGACAAGTTCTTTGCAGCCTATGGCGGTGGCCTTCAAGTCAGCACTCCTACGGCCGAGAAGGAAGCTAGCAAGCCTACATCCGGCAAGGGGTCGCGATTTATGGCTTTCCTCGCTCCTCAGGAAGGAGCAAAGACAGAGCCATCTACTCCCGCTGCTACTGCTCCCTCGAGCGGACAGCCCAACGAAGGACCTCAAAAGAATGAGGCCGAGAAGGAGGCCTTCAATCTCCTTATCCAGAAGCTACAGAAGAGCGGAATGGGGGGGCCATCGGGGCCATCTGGACAGGCGGCCAATCCCATGGCTCAGCTCTTCGGCAGCTTTTCGCAGCCGGCTCATCTTGCGGACTCCCAACCTAAGAGCCAAGTTGCTTCCCCGGAACCGTTCCAGCAGTATGGTGGAGAGCGCCGTGACGACCCTCGATTCCGCGCACCCCCACCGAACCCCTTGCACGACATTCTCTCCCCTCGTCCTATGGCTCCGCCCACTCAGCCGCCTCCCATGACACGGCCCGATCAAGCATTGCATGATATCATTGCCCAACGCCACGCTATGCCGAACCATGGCAACAACCGGGGCGCACAGAACCCTATGGTGAATAACCAGACGGAATTCCTCATGAGGTTGATGCAGAATCACAAGGAAGTGCCTGAACCACCCCGGCAGGAACAGCTCCTGGTCCGGATGCCGCAGCCCACCAAGCAGGTCAATATTCCCGATCTTTCTGATCGTGAAGCCGAATATCAGCGAGAGCGTAGCGCCGCCCAGCGGCAGCAACAACAGATCAGAGGCCCGGCTCCTCCTGGCTTCTTCAATGACCAGTTTCACCCTTCAGATGTTGACAATCGTCCACATCAGCCGCCGACGCAGATGCCGACGCAGATTCTTCAACGGCCTCCTCCCCCTGGTCTGGATCATCACATGCTTCCTTTCCCACTGGGTGCTGGCGGTGCCGGTAACCCTGGAAGCGGAGTTGGTGGTCAACCGATGGGTCCGCCCCAGAGGCCCATGATTCCTCCTCCGGGTCTTGTTAATGGACCCCGTAACGGACCGATGCCGGGTATGTTCCCCATGAACTTCCCGCCTCCTGGTGGAGCGTTCCCGCCTGGACCTCCACCCCCGGATAGCCTCGTTGGGCCCCCGCCTCCTAGAGGGATGCAGCCTCCCCCCGGCTTTTTCGGTGGTGGACCCCCACCCGGCTTCATGGGACCTCCACCTCCCGGAATGGGTGGTTTCCAGGGACCAGACGGTGGCCCTGCTGGATTTGGTGGTGCCGGCGGCCTTCCTTTCCCCATTGATCGGCGCGGTATGCTCCCTCCTGGATACCGGGGCCCTTAGGATGGACAACGGAGGTCTGAGCAGGAGTAGGCAGTCGGTCTAGTCACTAAGTATGTGAGAGGGAGAGCTGTAACTACGAGTATGTGAGAACGAGCTTGTTCGGCATGGAAGTATAAAGATCGTGACGGCGGAGCGTAACAGACTATCTGAGTAGTCTCGACCCTCTCAATATAACGAGTCACTCAGCGCAATTCATTCATATCCTTGTTTGGTGTCGTGCATTCTCATCGGTTATTCAAGCGCTATGCTTTGCTATGTTATCCTATGCTCACGTAGTTTCTATTTGATAGCTCGCTTTGCGATCATTCCAATCGCATCTTTCAACCCTAACTGCCTAGCTTTATACCTGTAGTCTAATAACTTTGTACAAAAGCTTGAGAATTCGGTCTCATTACATATCATGTTCTGAGCGGAAATCTATCAGGGAGTGGACTTGTGAAGTGACACCGCTTCGTACAACTTTGTCGAAGGCTTGCACTCTGATCAGTCGTAGGACTTTCGTAAAACCGCGCTAAATGACTGCGTTCTTGATCATTCACACGGTGTCCCAATTGTGCCTTTCCAGTTGTTATTTTGTGACTATGGTGTTAATCTCGTTGTCTGCCTCCTTGAATGGTGTCGCTGTGTGGTGCGAAGGCAGTGGGCTGTCTAGTGTTTTTACATGTGGGTATATAGAGCCTGGGTTCTGAGTAGCTACCATCAACCAACTACGACACTTGATTAACAGGTGTACATCTTCCGTAGTATAGTGGTCAGTATGTGAGCTTGTCAAGCTTGAACATCAGTTCGATTCGCTCGAGACCCGGGTTCAATTCCCGGCGGGAGAGACCAATCTTTTGCTTTTTTTTTGCATTTTCACTCCTGCTGTGTCTTTCCATATTGATTCTTTGAATATCTGCTTTTTTTTTCTTCGTCGTGCAATTTGACATCTTCCTCGGTTATAGTTCTATCTTCTTTTGCTTGTACTGATCGGCTTGGGTGCACTGAGCGGCTACCAAAGCGATGGGGAAGATTGTCAGTCGTCTTGCAACATTCACAAGCAATGATAGAGTTGAGTTTATCCTATACCTAGTATTCATTATTCTAGTCAAACCATAAACCACTCGAATCTGTTATGCGAGTTTACTACGGATTCTGCTTTCTTTCAAATGTCAGGAGACTATGAAGAAAAAGACAACCAGCACTACATACACAGTAACTGAACTCGAGTTCGCTTCACTCTCCCACTCCCTTTCGAACTCTCAAGATCCCTACCCCACTTTTTCAGGTACGTACCGCTCCCCTGGTCAGCTCAACCCCGCACGCCATGCCCCTGGAAGTTGGGGAAGCTCCCAGCTGCACAATGTCCCCTTGTGCGGGACACAACATTATTGCCCCGAAAACAACAGTCGTCCCCGTCTGACTTGGATTTTGACCTTGTCGCGGCTTCATTTGGCTCCAGCCTTTACCACAATGCCGCCATCTCGACAAGTAATCGACGGCCTGTGGCGTTGTCTCTGCCCTTCTGTCGATGCCACCTTGCTGGCGAAGGCCCTTGAGAGCCCAACCCTGTCCTCCACCTCCGCAATCCGATCGAGACCGCGAGTCAGTCGCAAGGATGGCCTTCATCGACATCGAGGAGTGCGCTCGCTCAGTCAACAATCGTATGCTCATCGGGCAAACGCCGACAGCTTTGTCTCTCCCAATCTGTACATTGAACCGAAATGGCCACAGAGTCAACACAAACCCGGAGCCGTCACGGACGGGACTGTAACCGCGACCGAGATTATCCAAGCGACGAATGACCTTACCGAGGTCTTGAACGAAGCATCGACACCTGTTATTTACGAAGCGCTTCGTGAGCTTCGCAACCACCATGGGCAACACGGCAAGATTCGGCCTATCATACAGTTCCTTCTAAACAACCGAAAGGAAAAGCCGAATCCGTTCATTTACGAATCCCTGGTTGTTGCCAACTGGGATATCACAGGCTCGGCCGACGAACTTGGGTTCATCTTTGACTCCATGGTTGCAGCCGGTGTCGAACCATCAATAGGTGTCCTACAGAGTGCGCTCAAAGCACTAGCGGTCCATCCTGATTATCTTCTGAGGACCGATATCCTACGCTCCCTGGGAGCCAAGGGAGCCAGACCCGACAAACAAGCCAAGTTCAGCGTCACCTTGGGCCTTCTTCGCGATGGCCAATTTGAAAAGGCTCTAGATTTGCTGGATGAACTGGTGTACAGCGACCAATGGGTGCCTGCATGGATATACGAGATCTTTATCTACACGCTCTCAAGGCGTGGGTTCATCGAGGAGGCCGTCCGGGTCATGCAGGTAAGGCTCAAAGCTCGCAATCAGAACAGTCCGTCCCACGTGCTGCCTTTGGGAACGTGGTACTTTTTGCTCGACGAGTGCAGCAGGGCATTGCACTACGAAGGGACCAAGCTGGTCTGGGATCACCTGGTACAGAAGCGCATTGTCAACCCCCCTGACGGCGTCGTCATTAACGTGCTCAACACGGCCTCTCGCCACCAAGACGCAGACCTGGCTACTCGGGCCATCGAGCTTCTCGCAGAGAGGGGGGTCCGACTAGGCCTGCATCACTACGAAGCACTGGTCGAATGCTACGCCTACAACGGGGACCTGCTGAACGCGCTGCAGGTGCTTTGTATCATGGAGGGCGCAGACATTCCTCCCGAAGCCGCCAGCACGCGCTCCATCTTCCTCCTCTTCAGACGGTCGCCCGAGCTACTGAACGGCGTCAAAGAGATGATGGAAAATCTGAAGGCAGCGGGCTACAAAATCCCTATCGCAACTGTAAACGTGGTACTGGAAGCCGTCTGCGATGAAGAACCGACAGTTGACAAGGCATTCGGCATGTACCGCGACCTCCTGCACCTCTGCTCCTCGGGACCAGACCTACGCACCTTCCAGGCTCTCCTGCAGAAGGCGCAGAGTGCTCAGACGGCGCAGGAGCTGGAATCGGAGATGCTGATGTACACGCTCAAGCCCACGCGGGACATGTACGAACACTTTGTGCGGTGCTCTACCGCGGACGGCGACCTCAACACCGCTTTCAAATACCTGGCACAAATGGAGCTGGCGCCGTTGGCGAGAAATACTTCGCGCCGCATGTGGATCAGTCATCCGACTTTGGTCCAGCTGCTCAAGCGCTGCTTCAAGGAAATGGACCCCAGAGCATGGGCGGTTGTTGATGTAGCCAGGGAGAGGAAGATTGATCTGGAGATTGAGATCAAGAAGTTGCTTGCGGAGATGCCGAAGGAGACGGTGGTGTCGGATCAGAGGGCGCAAGAGGAGATAGCGATGATGGGCACTGTGGATATCGCGGCTGAAGAGGCCTTGGATTTTGGCGATCTCAAAACCTCGAGCTCATCCGCATCTTGATGAAAACATGTAAAATATTTAAAGGAAGTGGGTTGGGGGTAACATAGTTGTTTTAATGGTTTGATAAACACCGGGTGTCGGACAATATAAGGCGTTGTGCGAGCGACGTCTTCCAACAATAACAACTCGCAAGGTTGTATAGTGTAGCGGTTATCACTCCGGATTCTGATTTCTTCAGAACCTTCCGGCAACCCCGGTTCGATTCCGGGTACGACCTCAACTTTTGACTTTTTTTTTTTGCTCCTTTCATGGTCATAAACGCTCCGTACCACCTGTTTCCTTCCCATGGTCAATCTTTTTGTCGCTTCAAAGGCTGGAAACAAGTCGCCCGCGGAGTGCATCATTTTGTGTGACATGGAGCGTTCTCAGGGTGCCGTTTGTTTTGTTATTCTTTCGAATGTTTGATGTCAACAGAAAAGAATACCTCAAAGGACCAGGATGCGATACGATGTGCTTTTGTCAGGTCCAAGGGAAAATCAACCAGGTACTTCAAGCTTGGGTATCTTTTGCTTTAAAATAATCATATCCTTCTTGCCGTAACTTCCATGCTGATGAATCGAACACTCTAGTCCGGTCTATGTGTCCGAACCAAGTCTTCTTCTTCTTCCCAGAACCCATATGATGATTGCCGATGAACCATCATCATGGATTGTGTGTCGCTGAAACTGGTCTTCATGCCCATCTACCGGTATCTCTTACGAACACCGATTCGGTCCAAGATCCAGTTGATGCTTCTTCCTTGGTCCGCCCCTTCCCCCCCCTAATCGCGATGGCGGCAATCCCGCGCCCTCTCGTTCATCGTGTCATTATTAAAAGCCGTACTTTCGTTCGTTCGGTGGTCGTTAAGCCTCGCTCCGCTTTCCCAACAACATGGAATTCCACCTCATGCGCCCCTGCCACGGCCGCGACCTCCCCTCTGACCACCTCTGTCGCCTCCTCCTCGTCCGCCACGGCCGCCACGGCCACCGTAATCGCCTCTGTTCTGTCCGCCGCCGCGACCGCCTCTGTGTCCGCCGTGTTGGCTGTGTTGCTGCTCCCGAGCGATGTCGATCACGTCGTCCGGTACTCGGAGGTATTTGATCTGTTCGTCCATGACAATTAGCGAACCGTTGATCGATTGATACTGGAATTCTATCCAAAGAAGAGGGAAAGACAGGGGAAAGAGAGGGAAGGATCGAAACTTACGTTGTTTCCCTTGACATAAACCTCTGGTAACCTCACGAACTTATCGCCTTCCTGTTACGCACGTAGAGTAAGCCTTCCTGTTCCCATCATTCGTCTTGTTGGATTCTTTGTTTCGCCGCCCCCTCATCATCGCCATCATTGTCATCATCGCCAGAACGGAGAACGGAGGACGGAGGTAGCACTAACCGGGCTGGTCTGAACAACCTCCCTTAGCGTCAGATTCATCCACGTGTCGCATTGGATCAAGTGGCCGTTGAGAGTTTCGCCGTTCTTGAGCTCGACGAGCATGGGGTGGCCTTGCGCCGCGGTGAGGATGCCTAACGGTAGCTGTTTATTGCGAGAAGCAAAAGATTAGTACATTTCCAAAAGGGATACCGAAGTGACGATGTGTGCAATCAGAATTCAACATACCATGATTGTGAATTTGTAGATCGACAGCCGTTATTTAGGTTGCCTGGTGTTGTTGCGACGGAGATCAAAAAGGAGTTGACGTGTTGGATGCAGCGACCAAAGGGAAGTGCGCCAGCCGCGACGGGAAGCCTGTCTGTCTGTCCTGGTGGTGGTGTAGCTGCAGCTTGCCGGCCGCGGCCGCGACAACTCAGCTACGGATGCAGGCGGTGGAGCAATGACATGTGTGTGGACCAGGATGTCTGGAGGCCGAGAATTAGCCGGCCGGCAGACGACATTGAAGAGGGGCATCGAAAAAGGAATATCGAACGCGGGGTTGTCACGCAAGCGAGAGGTCACGGCAGCAGGAAGCAACGAAGGTTCGATCTGCCATTTCATTGCGACCGTCATCAAGTTCTGAATCGTTTCAAGGATAGTGAGGAAGCAAAAAAATGGGAAAAAGAAAAGCGATGGACGAGCTGGGAATCGAACCCAGGACCTTTCGCATGCGGTGAAACATGCTAAGCGAACGCTCTACCAACTGAGCCACACGCCCTGACGAATGTTGAATGCAGATCCCTGTTTTACACACTATAACTGCCATAGAGGTAGACATCTGCTAGGTCTAGATGTTATGATACCCAGCGGCCTTTTGCATCTTCTGTGAATGTTAAGCATCAAATAAATGAGTCCGTTGGATACGTATCCTACTGGGACCGAGTGGCGTGGATAAAGATCCGAGCAAACGATCTGTTCAATTCGGAGGTGAAAGCAGGAACGCTAACTGGACCAATTGAACTCCGACATTCTGAAGGTGAATAAGAAGGCTCGGAGACTGATCAGACACAAGAGTTTACCTCTGTATCTACATTTTCCGCGGGTATAGTACGTGTCATAGTCCTAGCGGACTATGGTAAATCAATCCCACCAAAATCCTCCGTCAGTCCTGGGACTCCTGGCTGGAGCCTTGTTTGGTAAGAACAGAGGACTAATCAAGATAGTTTGGAACTTGAGCGTGCGGCACTATCATTTCTATCATACCAAGGGGACTTGTTAAGCCTTGTAGTAAGTGGGTTCTAACAACGAAACGTACCCTGCTATTCTTTAGTTTTGCTGCTTATCTCCTGATCTGCTCCGTCTCCCGTCTTCTCTCAGCCCAATGTCCTGGTAAACTCACCCCATTAAAAGTAAAACTAAGTGCTGTAGTTTGATGTTTTTCTCGCATATTGGACCATTGATATAACAGAACGTAGAACACTCTGCACAGCCTTTTTACTGTAATGGCCGAGTCAGTTTTGACGATGTGCCCTGACCGTTTTCACCACAGCCGAAAATAGAGGTAGGATCAAGGGAAAAGAGGGCATCACTTTGATATTTGGATGACATAGAGGCAAGATCAACTCCCTAAGGTAACGGAGCTTCATGATGACTTCCCATATAACCTTGATAAGATGCAAGTTAGCTCTGATTGGAGGATAACTGGATGTGACTTTCTGATTCATGTTCTCTCATCGGTTATGGGTGTTAGTTAGTATGGAGATACTCGCCCTTAAACTATGTAAAGACGTCGATTAGAGAAAAAAAAGAACAAAAAAAACAGGCACTACTACAGTTCACGAATGGATACCTTCTAGAATCTATTCCGTTCGTCCATTTACAAATGGAAGACCTCAAGAGTAAGACGAAGTCTCTAGTTGTCTTATATCCTTGGTGTATTGGTACCGACTGCTAGTAGCTTTCCTTCCTCGGAACACTTCCTGCCTTCGGCCCAAAACCAGGATAGCGGACTGACAAACGGCGTGCAAGTCTTGCTACAGAAGCAAAAAAGGAAAACCAAATCATCAAATAAGACAACAAGGTACGAAAGACCGCAAAAAGCCAAAAAGATGTGGACGAGCTGGGAATCGAACCCAGGACCTTTCGCATGCGGTGAAACATGCTAAGCGAACGCTCTACCAACTGAGCCACACGCCCGTGATGTTGTTGTTGAAGTTTTCATCGGAAGTTGTCTTTATAAGGAACGACAGATGCTGCTGAGCATTCTTTGCGAGGCCGACGTTTGATATGTTGTCTCGATGCAGGTCCGATGCAGGTGTGAACGGTCTGGTCGGTGCCTTGCGCGATATCCGTTAAACTGCATGGTCAATGCCACATGCACCCGGTGTCGAAGATAGGCAGGGGTCTGTGTTCTAGATAGGAAGCTAGTCGCATGGGAAGAGAACAGGGCGGGAAAGGTTTGGCAGCTAAGGTACTGCAGAAATTCCACCTGATTTGAGACGTACGCGAATATAATGGAAGAGTACCAAGTTAATTTAGGATATGAAGACCAGAGGTACCGCCCTCAACGCTCATTTGACTTTTTCAATCGCAAAAGGTAGCAAGGTATGATGATGATAGGAGTGAAGCAGATAGTCCAGCCAGCATTTGAAAACATATCCGGTATAATGAAAGAAACAAATCGACAGGGTCTGGTCCGTCACCATTGACCAAGTCCATAGACATGATATGATTAGTGTACCAAATGGCCCAAACATGCCATTATCACCCATGGTGCCTTGTACCTACTAGGGTATCAGAGGTCGAAGCTCGCAGAGGACCCCACGGGTCTCTTCCGTCGACGCGCATACTACCCGATGTATCTCTCTCTCTCTTTTTGAAATCTGATTTTTTTTAAGCATTCTCGCGGCTCTTGCGGTAGCTCGCCTGTGGCGACAACGGCAATAGTTAGCACAATGAAGGCCTAGGGTTTACTGCAAAGAGTACGCCGAAGCACGACTTGCCTCCTGTTCGACCTGCAGTCCGTCAATGACGGGTGTAAGCTCGCTCAGAATCTCATGAGCACGCTTGTGATATTCCATCTGGGCGGCAATGAGCTCGGCAAGGTTACGTAGAGGTTCAGGTGTATCGAGGACCTATTGCACCCCGGTCTGTCAGTTATACAAGAAAGTACTAAATTGAATAATGAGGAGCCACTCACGTTCTTCATAACAGCCACAGCTTCCTCGGTCTGGGTGACGAACTCATCCTCCGCCTTCTCGATCTCCTCTTGCGCCTCGGGGCTGAGCTCATGCTCGTCGTGGGCGGGGGCGGCGGTTCCAGGCAATCTCCAGGTAGTACCCTTGACGCGCGCCTTGACGGCGTCAAGGTCAAGACGGGCCTTCTCGACGTTCTGACGGGCGCGCGTAGCGAACTTAAGGTTGGTGTTGAGCGTGGTATTCCATCCAGCGAGGAAGCGGCTCTGGATCTGGGCGTCCTGGGCAAGACGAGCCTCGCCAACGCTCTCCATGGCTAGAGCATACTTCTCAAGGGCCGTAGCCAAAGGATCCTCTCCAGCACCGGTATGCTGCTGGTGCAAAAGCTGGCTGCTCGCCAAACTGGCACGAGCGATAGCATGGTTGAAGGTCTTGGGCTGCGGCTTGGCGCTGGGAGGAGCAGTGAGGGCAGCCTGCGCCTCAGCGGTCGAGGTTGCCGACGACAAAAGCTGGACCTTTTCGCTGACGGTGCGGCCGAGATCCGAGAAGGTCTCCTTGATGTTGGGAGGGTAATCGTAGGGCTCGTGCGAGTATTGGGAGCTGTTGAACGGATAGCATCAGCATCACGACATCGGATAACACCCAGGCGGAATGTATTCAGGAAGCAACATACGTCACAGCGAGCATCTTCTGATGGACAGCCTTGATCGCATCGACACGCTTCTCGAGCTCGATATACTCGGCGGGCAATTGAGTCTGTCGCGAGGGCTGTCAGCCATCGCAAGCCATAGTGAGTAGCGACTCTCAGTTGCTGCTGACCTTATCCTCAGCCTGACCCAGTTGCTCCTTGGTAAACTGAACGGTGCGCGAGGCGATGGGAGCGATTTGCCCACCCCAAGAACTGCAATCGACCAGCAAGTTAGCTATCCGTGACTCTTTGTACCCAAAGGATAGAAGGAAGAGCATGGCGGGGCAAGCTACTTACCCAAGGTTCTTCTGGAAACCCTTGAACATATCCATGATGAGATATTCTTTGGTGGCGACAAGAAAGTTGATGGTCGGTGATCGGTTGCGATATTGGGTTGACGACGATGATGGAGGGAATGTGCGTCGAGTATTTGGATGTTGGCTGCCTCGTGTAATTCAAATGGAGCTCCTCTTCGGTGAAGTGTGCTAGAGTCCAGGGGAGATGGTGATGTACGGCGCCTGGAAGGTGCCCCACCGATAATAACCCCACTGGTCCTTGTCATCTTGGAGACCGTGCACGTGGAGATACGATACCTTGAAGGCTCGAAAGAGCTGATTGGCTGATGATTGTCACATTCGTTTCAAGTACGTTTTCGTATCATGATGAAAGGACATCGCCCACTGTGAAGGCGGACAAGTGAGACAGGCGTCCCAGTCAAGAATCAAGATAACTGGTCCATACGGACATGGTGGTCCTTCTCTAGTTCGATATGGCAAACAACCTCAAAGGTCTCCCAAGACAAGCTCGACTGAAACGCGCCTCTCATGGCAGTCTTTACGTGTACCCAACATACGCTATTTCCAAGGCCCCACGCCCTTCCTCAGTCCGCTGGTTTCGTGGTGTCTGCCCAAGAAGGCGCAATATTCCTGCACACGTCTTCATAATCTCTCATCATCTGGTCGTTCAAAACCGCCTCCGGAGTCGTCCAGAACATGGCCCAGTTGCTCTCCGGCAGCTTAAGCACACCCCGAGACCGCTCAAAGTACCACTTATTGACCGGGTTGTCCTTCCTGCTCCTCCAGCAGACGCCTTCTGGGAAAGCATCACGAACCATGGCGTTGAACACAATGTCTGCCACGCCACCGGCTCCTTGACTCTTGTGTAGCACCGCAAATTTGTCCAGATACGGCACTAGTCGGCCCTCCCGGTAAGCCGTCTCTTCGTCAAGCCCAAATGGCGTCTCCCACGTAAGGATCGCACCTCCCTCGTACTCTCCAGCTATGATGATTCCCGCGAGGCTGTCCTTGACTCTGTTAAGGTAGTGTTCGACGTCGAGTTTTCTTCCGAAGGAGTCATTGATCAGATGTACCAGCCTAGGTAAATCGATACACGTATCCGTTAACCTGAGTCTAGGAACACCAGGTTGCGGTGGTTGCCAACGGTTTACCCTCGGATCAGGGAAGATGGTTACTGGCAGCCCTCTCTTGGCCAGGGTAGTTGTGGGCATCCGTGACAAAGCGATCTCCTCATCTTGATGCGTAGGTTTGATTCGGCCGATCGGAAGCGATGATGAGTAGATGGGTCGGTCGGTAAGTAGGTTGTGTATCAAGGGATTGCGCCAGGTTCTCGTCTTTACTTCACCCGCGAACCCATCGGGCTTGGCTTCCGGGCCGTCGCGCTTTGACACATTGATATTTGCAGCCTCCGCAGGACTGGTCATCACCACGGATGCGTTTGATGGAAGTAAGGCCAATGTGGATTTGGCGAGCCGTAGGTTTTCCAGATGGACCGTAGCCCTGGCACTGACACCGGCGTCTTTCGTGCCTGCCGAAGTAGGTTGAGTTTTTTCGTAGAGAGCGTCTCGGATATTTTTGAACTCGTCTTCCAGATTGATGAAAACTTGTGTGCCATGACCTTGTCTGTGGGATGGGATGCCGCCCAGAGGATCGATAACGATGACCCGATCAACCAAAGCCCTTCGGAAAGGCTGACCGTCGTTGACCTTCTCCGCCAGCTCCCGGTAGTCCGAATATTGTCGACCAAACTGAAATCCCGCAAAAAAGGTTGTTAGGGCAATAACAATGTCATTGGCATCGGCTTTAGAGTATTGGAGAGACGCGTCGGAGTATGCTCGTGGTGGGACGACCAGTATGTGACCATTGGCAAGTGGTGTAGTAAACGCCTTTCCGAACCCCACGTAAAGAGGGTTGGAGGGGATAGATGATGGAATCTGGGGATTTTCGGTTGACTTCCATATCCCGGAGTCAACCACTTCGGCGGCCGGGAATCCATACTGACCAATTGCTCTCAGGAGTCTGTCCGTCTGTTCTGTGACTGTTTCGTGCCACCCAGAAGCTTGATTGGGCCTAATGTCGTCGCAATCAAGGACGATCACACTCAGAAGACCAAGATCTCTCAGTCTGGTGAGGGTCTTAGCAACACCATCAAGGAGGACGTCATCCCATGCCTGTGGTGCCCTCAACTTCACGATGGCCACATGTGGTGCTTCGTTTGTCTTGACCGGAGTTTCCTTTTCTGGTCCTTGAACAAAGGCAGGCCTACCGGCCACAGAGGCTGGAACACCCAAGATACCGATGGTGGATGGTTTCTTCTGCCCAGCGCTAGTTAGGGCTGCGGGAGAGCCGAAAGTTTGGAGATAACCTCGAGCATCGCGTTTTGTGGCCGACGACTCAAGAACGGAAATAAGAAACTCCTGCAAAGAGGGTCAGTGATTAAGAAGGAGAACAGGTAAAAGCTGACGGAAGGTGATCATACTCTGTCACTGTCCCTCTTTTGTCTCGCTTCAGCAGACGAGGGGTACGAGCTTCTGGGTGCAGAAGGCCCCAATCTGGGGCTCACTTGGCGCTTCTCCTCCGCCTCGGCTTCTTGACGTTTCGACTGTGATGCCGTTGTTGCGAAAGAACGGATCAGCGACTCATGCGTTCTCGCAGAGCGAACCTAGAGTGAGAGTGTGAGAACGGCAGAGCGATGAGGATTTGGGCGCGAAAGAGAGCCTACCTGCTTTATAGATGTAGTGTTGGTCCATGCATTGCACGAGCTGCGGCAGGTTCGCACAAACATGGCTCATGAATTTGTTGTTTGTGTGATGACAGGCAAGAGCTGGCTGACAGTGACAAAATCCCGTAATGAACTTGGCAGAGCCCGATACCCTTTACAGGCTCGCCCGACCTAAGAAACCAGTGCGAGCCTGAGAATCAAAATCATTCCCGGCTGTGTTCCGCTATCCTAGAAAATCAATCGGGATCAGACAGCACTCGATGTTGGGAGAGAAAAGCAGACGCCGTCACTATCTTGTACTCGATGCGTCAACAAGGGACGGCCGGGGCTGGTGCCACTGGGAGGATACAGTGACCACAGTTGTTGCTCCAAAAGGTTAGATGCGCTGTGTGACAAAGAAAACTCCACAAAACGTCGAGCGGGTCCATATTTAGAGGTATGTCACATCTCCCACCCGAGTCTCGATTCTCGACAGAGCTACTCTCTGATAACATATTTCGAATATCTAGACAACCAGACTTCTAGAACCCATACAACTCCACAATTACTTGTTTTCATATGGCAAGCCGTTCTCCATCCTGACCGCCCCATAGATACCAGCAATATCACCCTTCTCCCCAACATGCGCCTTGAGCTCAGCAAGGTGAGCATCGGCCGTTTCCACATTGTGCAACCTCACACCCCCCTCCTTTGCAAGGCTCATCGCATGGCCTGCGTCCTTCCTCGCAAGATCAACGGCGAAGAGAGGGTATTCCCGTTTGTAATAATCTCCCGTGAGCATCCGAGTCGAATAGGCCGCATAGGGACCCGGAAACATGCCCTCGATCCACTGATGCAAGTAGTCCGTGCCCAACCCGGACTTCTCAGCTAGGACGTGGCCCTCGGCGAGTTGCTCAACCATATTGATAACGAAGGAGTTCCCGATGAGCTTGAGCGTCAATGCCTTTCGGTAAGGTTCGTCGCTCATGTTGATCTCGGCCTTGGCTGTGACGCCCTTGAAATACGGCCTAGCTCTGTCCACCGAAGCCTTGGGTCCTGCCAGGACACCAACGAGCTGACCAGCGTCCGCCATGGCTGGAGCACCGAAGACAGGAGCCGCAACGAATTGGGCTCCCGCGTCCTCAACTTGCTGAGCAATCTTCTCGGTCGTATCCGGATGAATGGTAGAGCACTCGATGATGAGCTTCCCCTTGACGTCATTCTTCAGAATCTCAGCGATGGATGCTTCCACCACCGCGTCGTTGGAGAGGATATTGAGGATGATGTCCGCCTTGCTCGCGCCCTCTGCAATGGAGTCAACGATTTCCGTCTTTCCGGCGGGAAGCTTCTCGCTGAGTTCGATGCACCTTTGCTTGGTACGGTTATAGATCAGAAGCGGCTGGTCGAGGTTCGCTTTTTCCACGATGTTTGCGGCCATGCCCTATGCAGGTGTCAGATATGCTCCTGCTGCAAAGTCGAAGCTGTCAATGTGATGCTCACCCGTCCCATGTTCCCCAATCCGATAAAAAACAATCTCGGAGCCATTTTTGCTGCTCGTCCCGGCACTTATTACTCCTGTAAGATATCTCTGCTTAGAGGTATTCAAGGTAGGGTCGCAGATCCAGGCTATCTCAGCGCCTAACACCACTGAAGAGGTTGTTGTAACAGGATGGGAATTGCAAGTTTGAGACAAGCTTGGATTTCTCCAAGCTGGACTTGGGATGACAAATGGTTACATCTTGATTTATACCAGCCCAAATTGCCCCAGTTAATCCGAGATCCGGCGTCTTCTAGTCGTTGTTGCTCTAAGAGCCGACGGGAATGAGGGGTTCGGGCAACGGCCGGTGATGTTCATGGAGCTTCGCCCTTCCGGGATCAACGCGGAAGTAACTGACAACCCGAGCTTTGACTTCCATTTTCCAAAGTGTCCATAATATTTCTGCGCAGGGCCAATGCCGGTGCAATCGACGAAAATCAATGGCAGAGAACAAGCGAACAATTTGAGAAGGCCTTTTCAAGACGGTGTTACGAAGCTGAGGTCGAGTCGGTACCTCTACGGCCATACAGTATTCAGGACAGTGTACTTAGTGTGAGCACCTTAGTCAGCAGCTCAATAGCGCGTACGTGCTGCTACACTCTTGCCCTGGAACGTTCGTTAGCGCGGGACTTCACTACGCACTCTTCCCAACTCAACCACCACATCACCAATTTTCATGCAAAAAATTGGTATCAACCCAATGCGTTTCGAGAGCTTCAAATATTCTCTCCAGTTTTTTGCTTTGAATGTGGTTGTCCCGTTATTTTTCTGTGTTGTTTTGCATACCCCTGTCACAAGAACCGCGCTAACAAACGTTCCAGCATTGTACTGTACAGCGCAATGGGGAAGCCGCAACTGAGGCTCATCCTGCTGCCCCTGTAGGGTACAAGTAGGGATGTAGCTGCGCGCCAGCTGCCAGCCTGCCGCCTGGTCTTGTGAATCCGCCAACGACATCATCCACGATCGGACCAGGTACCCCAACAACAACAACGACAACAAGGGCGAACCATCACGAATCCGCTCGATCTTCTAGCCCCCATATTTACAATTATCGTGCCTGCGTCGTATAAAAAGAACAGTTAACCAATATCTGGGAAGATGGCGAACGGGTTAGTGCTCCCAGCCCTTGCTTTTCAGTTGCCGAATTGCGCTGCGACTCTGAACTGACATTCTGCTTCCGGCGCGCGCAGATGGAGCATTATCATCGGCCTGGTGGTTGTCGCCGGCATGTGCGTGGCCGCCTGGATCTTTTCGCCCAAGGGTGAGAACCAAGTGTAAGTACTTCTTTCGTCCTTTACCTGTTTTGTGTGTTTGCCGAGCAGGAATGGCTGGTCGGCGCTGTCTCCAAGAATATCAGCTAACATGCTACTCGAATTGCGCAGACTATGGCGATCGTCCCTCATCCTCGCCTTCGTCAGCTGTTATCTCATGTGGGCTATCACCTTCCTTGCGCAACTACATCCCCTCATCGAACCCAGACGCTCCGATTTGCGCAAAGAATACATTCACCACTGAAACGAGAAATGATGGCGGCAACGACAATGACGAACACGACAAGAAGAAGCTTGACGAGAGCCGAGAAACCGAGGCGAGAAAGACACTCATGTCTGGCATACGCTGGGCAATAATGACCAGAGAAAGAGAAGAAGAAGGATGGGAGCGGCAGTTCCGGTAGACGAGACCTGGACTGTTGTGGCATTGCTAAGGTTGTATGAATACCCCAACCAACACTTATACACATATCGGAGAAGGCGGGCATGGCGTTATTGGGCGGAATATGCAACTTTCAAAAACTGGTGCATTATCAGAAACATTGGGAGAGAGGGCCCTGATGAGTTAGCCTTTAAGACGGCAGGCGCTATGCGGTCCGTCACCATTGACAACGAGGAGATAGGGCCAATAATGAGATTCATTCAATACAAATCTTTGTGTAATCGCTCTGCTCTTTTAGACCAAACTATGGGTAAAGCTCTCCAAACATAGCTCCCTGAGACACAAGGCAGAGACGTGACTTTTCAGAGTCACTTCAAGCCCATAATATCAACCAACAGCCAATCTCCCAAGCCAATCCTTTGCATACATTAACAAGGAACCCATCACCCTCCCTTCCTCCGCCACACTATGCTCCCCAACCGAGTCCACCCCATCCAGCCCAGCCGCCCACAAGACCGCCCTTCCCATGGCCCAACGGCTCAGCGCGCCCGCCGTCGCCAGCAGCGTCGCCACGCCGTAGTTACAGTCCAGCAAGATCTTGAGCGCCTCGACGTTGTTGGCCACCACGGCCCATCCTAACGAGCGCGCCGCCGCAGGAACGTCATATTCCCATATGACCATCAGGATGGGAAACAGCTTGGTGGAAGACGAAACGAGAAGGGCGGTCGAGGCCGAGTTGGGCCGGCTGAACTGCGGGAGAATGCCGAGGAGGTGGAGAGGTGAGTATCGGCTTGAGGTGAGGAAGCGGATGGAGCCGTGGAAGGCGAGGGTTGAGAGGGTGCAGAGGAGGACTTTATGTGCCGAGTTAGCAAAAAGGAAAGGGGTAAACTTCATGGCATAGAACGCGACGTACGGAAGAACATGTATTGTAGCACAATGGGTTGTTGCGCTAGACGGCCAAAGTTGCTGACGCTTGCGCTGTTCATCGTGCCGGACGCTGTGCCATCTACGCTGTTGGCGGCCGGAACTGATTGCTTTTCGATGCGTGCCCATGTAAGGTAGACATCGAAGAGAAGGAGAAGTACTCCGAGACGAATGATGGAGGGCTTTTCAAGTTGAGTCCGCCAAGTTAGTGACGGACAGATCCGTGAAATGGGAATGGGGTATTCAAACACGTACTGCGAATTCATCCTCGTCTTTCATCAAGGTGTTGTGAAGCAAATGTCTATAGACCTATGACCATTTGTGGTATTTTAGCTCTTTGGTCTCTTCAAATCGAAGTCACCTTTCACTTCTCAAGTACTCGAGCTTGTGCTTACTAGAGCACATCTTGATGTACCGGGTGCATTCAGTTGGTTGTGTTCATCACATACCTGCGGTTTGATCAAGACAAGGTCGATGAAAAGAACGACAAAGTCATGTTCGACATATTTATCACAGAAGCGGCCGCAGTTCTTGCACACCGTCAACCGGATGTTGTGCCCGGTCGACTTGTCACCTGCGCCCTCCCTCCATAACGTCTTCACAGGGTGTCTGCATTCGATGCAAATCGGCATTCGGACCGCGAGACTGAGTTGAGGGGAGGTTGGCGAGGATAGACGTGTAACTTGACTGAAGATGCGTCAACGATTTCGTGATGTTGTGATGGCTTTCCACTGGTGATCTGATGGTGTTCCTCAACGTTCCCGGCGTGGTGTTGAGGGTGAGTTCTTGGCGTTGATGTTCAGGGCGATTCAGCATCGGTCCACGTGTGGTTCAGCGCTGGGTTAGGGTTCAATATGTGTTCCTCGCACAGTGTAGATGATTCTTCGCCAGTCCCGGCCCTGGAGTTGGCGTTGAGCATCCGTCACCAATACTCATCCCTATGTGGCCAAATTCACAAGTCGATGCGCCTCAATAACTGAATTTGTGCCGCCAATGTGTCCAAACTCAAAGACCGGATACTGGCCCAATACAAATCTACTCTTTGGTAATCCCATGGTCTCATGATTGCCTTGGATGTGCTCGCTTTCGCTCTAGTTCTTGATATATACAAAACCGCCAAAAACAAAATTAATGCTAAACTGGCCAACTTCACCGGTCCCTTGTGATGCAGAAGAGGACGCCATTATACTTTACTTTGCTAACATGCTTATCGTGGGTATCCTCCCTCGTGAATCCAAAGCTGAAAAGACCCGAAGCTCTATGCAAAGGAGTGAGCTTGCTGCCCCCGGACTACAGTCAGTCCGCCTTCTTGTCCCTCCCAGCTAGACTGCCGCTGGGATACCTCCCTCTCATCGTTCCACTCCCGCCCATTGTAGCGCTTCTCCCAGAGGTACCAGTTCCCAAGTTCAGCAATCCTGTGTCCCGTCTATCATCAGAAATAGGATCGATGTTCCCTCCTCGACCATCGTCACTATTAGTGTCGGTAAGCTCGATGAGGTCGCCTTCTTCTTGGCCAAGAGGCGATCGTTTCGGTGCGCCTAGAGAAGGCGTTCCTATTGGACGTTTGACAAATGCGCCTCGTAGCCAGTTCTCGACCGCCGCAGCCGCTTTATCGAGGCCGGTGGATCCTTGGCCGTTTATCGTCGAGGCATCGCCTCCGTCTTCAAAAGGGCTCTCAACAATAGTTGGGTGCTCCTCAGCGCCTTGGAAACCGAGGCGGGCAGTTTCAGCACCTAAAACAGCCATGGACGGTAGAGAATCAATGTTCAGGCCCGGTAGATGTTTATTTGTCCACGTGTTGAAGTAATCCTTCTCAGGTCCTGGTGCTCTCACATTCCGCAGCGAGCCTACGCCTCCAGGCCGTCTCATCCATGCCGGCCGAACATCATCTCCAACTAGACTGGGGCGATTTCCCATGAGACTAGTTCGGCGGGAAGAGCTGCTGCCGGGACTCGCAGGACCGGTCTCCCCACTGACAGTGATGCCTGGTACGTCCATCGACGTCCTAGGCGACGTCATTGTGGAAGTGGTGTTCATGCTCTTCCTCCGACGCGGGGGGAAGTATCCCAAAACCTTGCGTTCTACTCGTGCGACCTCAACAGGATTAGGAAACGAGTCGAGTGATACCCAGCGCACGTGTGTCCATGGTCGCTCGTCATCATGTGTTTGTAACTTGTTATCCCCGCCTTGATCGTTGGTCGAGGTGCCGAAAAACTCTCGGTTGTTGGAGATGTCTCGCCCAAATGGGTCTGTTGCTTCCGGCGTACGGGCCAAGTAATCAACTTGGGCTCCGGGAAACGAGGGGCCTTCGCAAGGGCGCCCCTTGATCTCGCAGGCGTCGACAGGAATTGCAAGCCATTTGCGCATCTGGATATTGTCTCGAGACCATAAGCCGTTGGCCTTGCGGAATGCGTCTTCACGGCACTTGTAGCGAAGCACGATCCCGGCATAGGTATCAGTTGGCTGTACATGGTGGATGTACACCAGGTGTTCTGCTGTTTCCTGACTTTGCGAAGCTTCTCGCAAGTCCTCGTCTGAACTACGCTTTTTGAACGTCCTGGAAACATCCAGCCCACCATTAACGCCTTCATGACTTTCGAGTACACTTGCTGTCCTAAGGGCCCTGAGACGCCCCTCCCGCTCGATCATTGATCCTGACCCAACGTCCTCTAAGCGTGGCCTCGATTCGTTTGGTGGTTCGGGACCCCAGCTGCTGGAGCTCTTTTGTTTCCCAGCGGTCCTGGTGGCTGATCTCTCTGACCCGGTGTGATATGATTCCCCACCAGTAAGCAGTGTTGTGGTGAACTCCTGGACGGAGGCCCACGTCGAAGCCCACGAGCCATCGAGCAGACCACGACCGCCCCTGGGGCTACTTGCACGTGTAGAGCCCGCCGCGACCTCAAGTCTAGAATTGTTTCTTCCGGTAACATCTCCTATGCGTGCGGCGGGAATCGGCGAGGCGCCTCTGTCTGGGGTCCTGCTCGGGCTCGAGTAGAGGGAGGATGAGGTTGCATCGTTGCGGTGGCTCACTACCCGGCGGTTTCGTGGGCGAACAGAGCTGTCATCCGCATCTTTTGAAGCCGACAAGAGGGCACTCGAGGAGGGGCGTTGCGAGAGACTCATGGCTTTGTGTTGATTGTGTCCTCGCAGGGAGGGCGCAAACCTCGGCGCCTATGGTTCGTGGTTCGAAGGGAGCATCAGATAGCAACTGTTTGAGGAATCATGGAGAGGGCGCCCCTTGCTGCTGGGCTGTTATTATTCGTTTGCAAGTGTGTAACTGCTGGGAACTATGGGCACTGGTCGCAACGTTATGAATGCCCTCGCTTCGTGTGTTCTCTTTCTCGAGATGGTGCTGTAACGTCGTCTTCTCTGTGTAAGTTTACTTTGTTGATCGAGACGGACTACTCGAGGTGATGGCCCAATCGGTTGGAGCTAGGCCGTGAGATCGGATGGTAGGACGTCGAGACAAAGGTATGACGGGTAACAGGTTGTTGTCGATTAGGTGATTAATGGAACTGCGCGTCATGAAATCAAAACGCCACAAGGCCGAACTATGATCTTGAACGAGGGACGTTCAATGTTTGATGGGAAAGCTGGAGGGTTGAGGTTGTGACGAGCTGGAGGAACAAAGTGGAAGCGGGAACGTGCCACTGTGTTCCAGTTGGCGACGTCCCTGTGGCCGACTGCCTTCCAGCGGCATGGCCCTGTTTGGTGACGGATGGGGGGCTCCCAGATCCCGGACTCCCGTCGGCCAATTCAGCGCCAAGAACCATAGCGGGGTGAGCGGGCCCTGCCTTGCCTGCACTTGAAGGAAAGGCTCCACAAAGTGTTTTGGCTTTGGGCAATTCACAAATCAGGTCCGTTTCGCATCGTCTTTGGTATGTAATGATATGCTGCTCCAGGCCGAATAAAAGGCTCTTAAAGACGGAGGATAGAATTCCGCGTAAGGCTTCCGATTATTCCTGGGCCAAGATGAATGCCTTGATATGTGTGCTGACGAAAGAATTATATGAATTTTAATGATGTTAGCGGGCATGTCACTCATTAACACACGGCATCGTGCAATGCAGAAAAGTAAAGTCGGCGATTGAAACAACGAATCTTGAAAATAACCCGTTTTGAAAGATTGGTGATGGGCCGAAAAGGGGTAGGCAAAGCACGGGCCCAGTGTCACAGAGAGCCGCTTGTTAGGACCCACTCTGGGAGGATATCGCGCCAGGGGCAGACGGGCACGTGCAGACGTGAATGCGGGGCGCCCGGTCGTGGCCCACACCCCCCCTCCCCCAAACCCTGGTGGTGCCTGAGAAAAGTAAACAAACGTTGCGTCCATCTTCGATCTTGTTGGATTTGTCCAGGCAGGCGCGGGCGTGTTTTGAAGCAGCGCCAAACTTCCAACCACGACGATCCCCCGGCCAAAAATCACGACGGCGCCAACATGAGGGTCACCGAAGTAATTATCGACGTACGTGTTTTTCCACCGCGCCGTTAGTCGCGACCTGACCCAAGGTGTAATGCGACAACTTGAAGTTGTGACAGAGCTGACATGCCCGCGCGTTGTATAGGGCTTCAAGTCGTACGCCGTCAGAACGGTGATTTCAGGATGGTAAGGACACTGACTCATCAGGGCGATCGAAGGCATCCCTCCAACTTCGTAACTAACCGGCCGCCGCAGGGACGAGACCTTCAACTCCATTACCGGCCTCAACGGCAGCGGTAAATCCAACATCCTCGACGCGATCTGCTTCGTTCTCGGTATCACCAATATGTCAACAGTCCGCGCGCAAAACCTGCAGGATCTTATCTACAAGCGAGGCCAAGCCGGCGTCACAAAGGCCAGCGTCACAATAGTGTTCGATAACAGAGACAAGAAAAAGTCACCAATCGGATTCGAAGAGTATGCGACCATCAGCGTTACCCGCCAAATCGTGCTCGGAGGCACTTCCAAATACCTGATCAACGGCCATCGTGCGCAACAACAAACCGTACAGAACCTCTTCCAATCGGTTCAGCTCAACATCAACAACCCCAACTTCCTCATCATGCAGGGCCGCATTACAAAAGTTTTGAACATGAAGGCTGTCGAAATCTTGGCCATGATCGAGGAGGCAGCCGGCACAAGGATGTTCGAGGACAGGAGGGACAAAGCACTCAAGACGATGGCCAAGAAGGAGATGAAGTTACAGGAGATCAAAGAACTCTTGCGGGATGAGATCGAACCGAAACTTGAGAAGCTACGAACCGAGAAGCGCGCATTCCTCGACTTTCAGCAGACACAAAACGACCTGGAGCGGTTAACAAGGCTTGTGGTGGCACACGATTACGTAAGGTGTCAGGAGAAGCTACAACAGTCAGCATCGGATCTTGAGGCGAAGAAGCAGCGCCAGAAAGAGCTTGAGGAATCTGCTATCCGGCTAAAAAATGAGATATCCCATCTGGAGGAGGACTTACAACGGGTCAAGGCACAGCGCGACAAGGAGTTGCGGAAAGGTGGCAAGGCGCAGGCCCTGGAAGAAGCAGTAAAGAAGCACGCCAACGAGCTGGTTAGGCTTGCTACCGTCGTGGATCTGAAGAAGAGCAGTATGAAGGAGGAGCAAGAACGGAGGAAAGCTGGAGAGAAGAACGTTGCCGACCTGGAAGCGGCGCTGAAGGAAAAGACCAAGACATACGAGAAAATCAAGGCGAAATACGATGCCGCCAAGGATACGCTTGAAAAGCAGAGGCAAGAGGCAGACACCAAGGAAGAGCTGCTACAGACCCTGCAAACCGGTGTTGCATCCAAGGAGGGACAGGAGAATGGTTACCAAGGACAACTGCAAGACGCGAGAAACAAGGTCACCGCTGCGGCAACGGAACAAGAGCAGGCAAAGATTAAAATTGCCCATCTGGAGAAGCGAATAAAAGAGGAAGAACCCCGGGCTAAAAAGGCCAAAGAACAAAACGCGGGCTTGCTGAAGGACCTTGATGGCCTGAAAGCTCAGGCTCAGAGACTCGAGAAGGAACTTGGAAAGCTTGGGTTCCAACCCGGGACGGAGGAGGAAATGTACAAGCAAGAAAGCTCGCTCCAGCAGACCATCCGCAATCTACGACAAGAATCCGACGCTCTAAAACGCAAGGTGGCAAATATCGACTTCAACTACTCCGATCCAGTCCCAAACTTTGATCGATCAAAAGTGAAAGGACTAGTTGCCCAACTCTTCTCGTTGCCCAAGGAGTATATGGAAGCTGGAATAGCGCTGGAGATTTGCGCTGGAGGCCGTCTTTACAACGTTGTTGTAGACACGGAGGTGACTGGCACGCAATTATTGCAGGGCGGTAGATTGCGAAAGAGGGTAACCATCATTCCTCTGAACAAAATCTCCGCTTTCAAGGCCTCGGCACAAACGATTGCGAACGCGCAAAGAATCGCTCCAGGGAAAGTGCACCTAGCTTTGTCACTCGTTGGGTACGACGACGAAGTGTCGGCGGCAATGGAGTATGTCTTCGGAAACACGCTTATCTGCGCCGATGCAGACACAGCCAAGAGGGTGACGTTCGATCCACATGTCCGCATGAGGAGCATCACAGTGGAGGGTGATTCCTATGACCCTTCAGGTACACTATCAGGTGGAAGTGCCCCCAACTCGAGCGGCGTCTTGGTTACTTTGCAGAAGCTCAACGAAATCAATCGGCAGCTGAAGGAGGCCGAGGCCGCCCTCAATGAGCTACGCGCCCAAATATACCGGGAAAAGACGAAACTCGACCAAGCAAAGAGAATCAAGCAAGAACTTGACCTCAAGGCACATGAGATCAAGCTAGCGGAGGAGCAAATCGGCGGCAACTCGTCATCGTCGATCATCCAAGAGATTGCAAATATGAAGGAAACAATAGTCCAACTCAAGCAGTCGATCGTGGAGGCCAAGCAGCGACAAGCGGAAGCCACAGCGGAAGCCAAAAGAATCGAGAAGGACATGAAGGACTTTGACAATAACAAAGACGCCAAGCTAGTGGAGCTCCAAGCTTCAGTCGACAAGCTACGTGCTTCCCTGGACAAGATGTCTGTTACTAACAAGGCGTTGCAAAAAGAGCTTCAAGAGGCGCAACTGGACTCAGAACAGGTTGCTGCCGATCTTGCGGCTGCGCGGGAGCAGGTTCAAGACATCGACGTCGCCCTTAAAGCACAACAAGAAGAGATCGACGACATCGTGAAGCAAGGAACAGTGCTTCAAGAGACACACGACGCCGTCTTAGCACAACTGGAAGATGAACGGACCAAACTGCATGTGTACGACGATGAGCTTCGAGCTTTGGAGGAGGCAACCCGATCCAAGAACGCACGAATCGCCGAAGAGGGGCTCGAACTCCAGAAGCTTGGCCACCAAATCGAGAAATTCCACAAGGAGCAGCAGCAAGCCGCCCAGACGGCCTCGCACATGGAGCGCGAGCACGACTGGATCGCCGAGACCAAGGACCAGTTCGGCCGGCCCGGAACCCTCTACGACTTCAAGGGCCAGAACATTGGCGAGTGCAAGTCCACGCTGCGGAACCTGACGGAGCGCAGCCAGGGCTTGCGCAAGAAGATCAACCCCAAGGTGATGAACATGATCGACAGCGTCGAGAAGAAGGAGGTGTCGCTCAAGCACATGATGCGCACCGTCATCCGCGACAAGCGCAAGATCGAGGAGACCATTTTTAGTCTGGACGACTACAAGAAGAAGGCGCTGCAGGAGACGTGGGAGAAGGTCAATGCCGACTTTGGACAGATCTTTGCCGAGTTGCTGCCTGGCAGTTTCGCCAAGCTGGATCCCCCTGAGGGCAAGACTATCAGTGAGGGATTGGAGGTCAAGGTGCAGCTTGGTAAAGTGTGGAAGCAGAGTCTTACCGAGTTGAGCGGTGGTCAAAGGTATGTTTACTTATTTCCTTTCTCTTCCCTTTCCTTCTCTCCCCTTTCCTTCCCCCTCTCCAACCCAGCCCTGCCCCTATCGAAGGAACCCCTCACTAACTTCGCCATCCAGATCCCTAATCGCCCTCTCCCTCATCATGGCCCTCCTCCAGTTCAAGCCGGCCCCCATGTACATTCTCGACGAGGTCGACGCGGCGCTCGACCTGTCGCACACGCAGAACATTGGCCGTCTCATCAAGACCCGGTTCAAGGGGTCGCAGTTCATCGTCGTCAGTCTCAAGGACGGCATGTTCCAGAACGCCAACCGCATCTTCCGGACGAGGTTCAGCGAGGGAACGAGTATGGTGCAAGCGCTTACGCCAGCGGATTTGAAGTGATGAAATCCGGAGGAGTCTGAGTAGGGGGTATTGTGTTTATGATTTACACGGATAAGTTTGTAGGATAGACTGGGCAGGCAGGTGGGATGATGGATTAAGTTAAGTAACGGAGGACGGGCTATCGAGAGGGAAGGGGGAAAAGAAGCAGGGTGGTTCTTTTGTTAGTAAAGTTTTGGGCGTGATTGGGTCTGGTTCGATTGACTTGAATGAATTTACAGCTTTTTTTCTCTTCAGACCGTAACGGTGGGAACTGGACAGGGAGAATCGATGAACGGCAGCTTGGATTAATGAATAGCGTCGTTTGTGTTGTGACTAAGGGCATTCTGGCGTGTGGGTGATACATACAAAATTTGTTGCTTAGGTGCTCTTTGTTCGGGCGTATAGTGTACAATATAATGCTGATTTGTTTGTTAGCTTGGTACTCTTAGTATTTTGGACGAGATCTATGCCGAGTTGTCCCAAACTTTATAAGGACGCACTGAAATGATTAGGTACGGATGGGATATGCTTAAGGATTGATCGGAAATGCATTAATAATATTTAACATCACATATTCAGTATCGCAATTGACATATTCAAGATAGATATTAGGCTTTAATCATGGAACGAAACGCATCAATAGATATGAAAACGCCTAGGGAAGTTAACCCGAGGTCTCGAGCTAACAAACAAACCAGTATTGGACTGGTATATGTTCCCCATTTTCCTTTGCTCCATAATCCCCCATTCCCCTTTCCCAGCCCTGCTATTCATGGATGATATAATCATGAAGAAATCAGGTTGCTTTTCGGTCTAGCCCGCCTTAAGGTCTAAGTCTACCAAGTAGACCTAATGCATCCCATCTAAAGTGATGACGCCAGTGATGACGCTATACACCCTTTTTTCCCCCTTCCTAAACCCAGTGCTGTAGTAATGATTGAGAGTTTCAGATATCCGGCCTGTCAGTCTCAAACATCCTAGCATACCGATGAGGTCCCCGGCCGAGCACCTCGATATCCATACCAACTTCGACCCAGCTATCCATCACCATATCATCGGCACTGGGACTGGCTGCTTCAGCTTCGGTAGTAGGGTCACGGAACAAGGGGGTCAGCTGCATGCCGAGGCAACCGACGCCGTTGATTCCGGGATCTACGTCTCTGTATTTTCGAAGAGATCGGTCTGGCTCGGCAGGGTGACGGAAACCCGTGTCTTGATCGACGTTGGGCATTTTGCAGCTGTCGGGGTTAGTTTGGGAGCATTTTTGTTGTGTATATAAGATGATCACTAGGGAGGGAGTCTCTGTGCCCAGACGAGGGTTGTGGGTGAGGAAGCGTGGCACATATGGAAACTTACCGTACAGTCCGGCATGATACGTGAAAGTTGGTCTTGTCTTGTCTTTTGTTAGATGGCCCGGGGTTGAAGCGGATATTCTTCCAGCTTTCTTCTTCATAGGCTTCGACGCCGTCAACTGTGATGTGTGATGAGATTTGGTTAGCGTGTGTATACTTGTTAGCGTTACGCAGTCGGGCCTTATCCTCGGAGAATAATGCAGGGTTGCTACATTGAGGATATTGCGCCGAGACGGACTCTTGCTTTTAGAAAGCTTGCCGGACAGCATGCCTTCTACCCTCGAGCAAGATGGCCTGGGAGCGTTTGCTCGGCCAATGTCCGAGTGTATAGCACCTGGACTGACTTACCTATGATGTTGGCCCGAAACCTCAATGGGTCGAGTGATTTGAGGTTGTCATCCTTGTCGATTTTGGCGTCTAAATCCTGAACACTTGATAGGTTGATGAGATGCACAGGATACTATGCATATACCCTCCTCTGTGGTTAGTTTTACGTTCTTCATTTATGTCTGGGTCACGGAGGTAAATGGACGAAAACCCACCGCATCCTGCCAGCCTGTAACGGGCTGATAGCCGGCCTCCTCCTTCTTGGGCGCATTCCGGTATACCTCCCGCAATCGGGTCGGGTCGACGCGAAATAAGCCGAGCCTGTTGCTCACTCCCAAGTGTAGCCTCAACTCCCGAGGTAAGTCAGCCTCCATGTTGAGCGCAGTGACCGTATCCCGCCAGATCTTCACCGGCTCCCATGTGTACTTCCTGGCCTCGATCTCATCCTCAGAAGGAAAGGAGACAGGGAGAATGATTTCCTTTTCGGGTACTGCGTGAAGGCCCCGCGAGAGTTTTGCGCCCAGCCACGCCATCGTGCCGCGCAGTCCTAGCTCCTGCCAGGGAAAGCGAATGACGATGAACGAGTCTCCCAAAGCAGCAGTGGACTTGTTGGTGCTGTCCAGAGACAATAGCTGCTGGCCTCCCCCTCGAGCCTTGCGGATGTCAGGAACATAGAGATCCACACTGACAGTGGCAAGACGGGGAAACTGTCTCTGCGAGATGAATTCCCACGAGTGCTCCTTCTTTGCCTCATCCGGGGTGTCGAGCCCGACCGGAAACGGACTCTTGAGCTGAGCGAAAGTGTAGATGCGGTCGTATTCGAGGCCGGCGGGTACAACTTTGCTCTCAAGTACCTCAATGCCCTTGCAGGACTTTACTGGGAAGATCCATAAACTCTGAATTCTTCCTGGACCATTATTGCTTGCTTTGCTGTCTCTTCTTGAGTGCCTGGGTAGTCGGCGCTGTGAGTCATCCAGGCCTATTCTGGTATGAGTTTGGAGGAGTGCCTCCGTCACCGAGGGTAGGATTGGGAAGTATTTGACAACAGGTAGGAGAAAGACGAGAATGGTGACGGCGATCAAGAAGATGCTTCCGAGACCAACAGCCGGGCCGGGCCGCGGCAGGTCAGCTTGGTATTCCATGCCAATGTGGAAATCTGTGAGACGATAAGGCGGTCTTCTGTCGTAGCCGTTTGCGGTAATTGTGTGAGACGCAAAATTTCGAACTTCGAGAGTTGGTCAACTGTGAGGAATCAAGGTAGCAAATCAAGGTAGCAACAGGATGGGTCGCAATGTGTGAGTCTTGACCGCCACCATGGATGAGGTTGTATCGGCAAACAGATGGAAGACAAGCGGAAGAAAGGTGATCGTTGTTTGGTTCCGTACCAAGCGAGGAAGGAGTTCACTCGGTGACTCGGTCTTGGTTCGCTAGAGGGTCAGACTTTCCAATGTTGAGAGTTTGCAAAAAGTCGAGGACATGGACTGCAATGCAATTGACGGAAGGAGATGCCGTGGCCAGACTACGAATGGACCTTCTTGGATAACTCTAGGGAGGTTGTTTTTTTTTTTTTTTTTTTTTTAGAAGGAGCTTCCATTCACTCCCAGGGTACAAGTGCGCATTGACCAGGGGATCCACTGGGCGTGCACGTGCCCAGCTGGGCTGGGATATGCGGGATTTTTACCCAGATGCTAGAAGTGTAATGGGTCTGCGAGAGTATTGCACAGCGAGCAGTCGTATAAGGTTGAAATGCTATATTTGATAAAGAGGAAAAGGAAGGACTGTACTAGAAGGGTGTAATTAAGAGAAGGTTTTGTGCAAATCGCTTAGAGCGTACGGGCTAGGTAATTATGCGGGTCTGGCCAACTAGAAGGCTCGCATCCCTATTGATAAGGCAGGCTCCCTATCGATAATGTAGGATACGGTTTGGTATTAGCTAAGCTTAACCCCTGGGCTCTAGCCCTATAATAGTACCCCCCTATTCTCTTTTAAAAAAGTCGGTTTACTATATAAAGTATTAAGTATAGCTAATTATATAAAGGTGATGAAATTTATTAACGACCGCTCCTAACTAAATGCCTATCTAAATAGGGAAGAAATCAATAATACTAAGAAAAGTATCTACACTAAGCCCCCAAACAAACGCTATACGACTACCTGCCCAAAAATTACTCAGGTTAGCGATATTTACGCTTGAGTACTACCTTTATAGAATTGCGCCAAAGGCCCTAGTATTAAAATTAAATTAGGAGATATTTTTAAACTTTACCTATTAAAGAATTTCTTTTATCGTATTATATTAATAATTTATAATAGAAGTAATTAGATTAAAGTTATTACCTAATACTTCGTATTACTCTATTTCCTTTGCCGGTAGGGGCTTTACCTTCATCGCTATAAAAGTAATTTAATAATCCTTATATCTATGAAATATAATATTTATTACCTTTTTACAGTTACGTTTTATAGTAAATATTACTAATAATATAATTAGGCGGCGAAGGGCATTATATAGTAGTTTTATTACCTATTTAATTAGTAGATAGTATACTTAGTAAGCTGTAGAGGTCCCTTCTTTTAGATATATAATATTCCTTTACCCTTAGTATTATTAGGGGTACCTTTAATAGGGTATTATTTAATTTGAGAGTTCTTCTTTTTAATTATTATTATTATAACTATTTAAACCCCTATTGGATTAAAATAAATTGATTTTATTTCATATAATTAATATCGCTCCTTAGACTAAAGCTTCTACTACTATATCCTCTCTTTCTTCCCCTATTTCCTTATTTAAATAAAGTTTAATACTTTTCTAGTAACGTTGATATCGAGGGATCGTCGGCGTCTTTAACCGGGTATATTTAGCGGAAGTAGAGGTTAAGGAAAATATTACTATTAAAATTAGTAAGCGAAAAGTAGGCGAATTTATATTACTAATAATAAGTCTATTTACGTTTGGATTCCGTAACGGTTTAGCGGCGGGGAGAATTATTTATTAAATCAGCGGAGCGCTCTTTAGTATTCGAAATTGAGAAAAAAACTAATACTATTATTAAAAAGGACGGGAGTTTAAATAGTAGTAGCTAAAATTTGGTTTAATTGTAAGCGAACGAGCGCAATAAGTAATAATAAAGGAAGAGTATCGCTAGAGATGGCAATAGAGATTTTTCTAACATACTAGCGAAAGAAGGGTAATACGAAAATGTAGAGGGAAAAGTAGTATTGCGGAGAGAATAAAGCGACAAGAGGGGAGCTCTTTCGGACGTACTTATAAAAAAACGATAATAACAACGAAGGATTTAAAAAGAGGGTTAAATATAATATAACAGGTCTACAAAAGTATTATACAACGAGCAATCATATAAGGTTAAAATACTATATTTAATAAAGAGGAAAAGGAAGGACTATATTAGAAGGGTATAATTAAGAGAAGGTTTTATACAAATCGCTTAGAGCGCACAAGCTAGGCAATTATGCGGGTCTAGCTAATTAGAAGGCTCGCATCCCTATCGATAAGGTAGGCTTCCTATCGATAAGGTAGGCTCCCTATCAATAATGTAAGATATGGCTTAGTATTAGCCAAACTTAACCCCTGGGCTCTAGCCCCATAATAGAAGCTTCAAGTCTGTAGAGCCAGTTTTATATATATATATACAATCAAGCCACGTTGAACCTATATCGATTATTACTAGTAATATTATAATTAAGAGTCTTATTGATTCGATTGTTGAAGTTATTGCTAGTAACAATAACCGATTAAACGATTATTAATAATATTGACGATTAAAATTAATAACGTTGTTTTTAACGGCCTTAGGGATTGGCCAGCCTGGGAAGATGTTTTTATTTCTATAGCCTAAAACCTGGGTCTCTGGAAGTATATCGACCCGGATAATTGCGTCCCCTAGCTAATTGAATTAGCCGAACCTAATATCATTAGTTATTAAGGGTCGATTCCGGCTGGGGAAATTAGGGAAGTTAAGAAGGATAGGGAGGTTGCTTCATTGATTGCTATTAAATTATATAATATTTATTATAAGTGCGATTATTGCGATTATATAATTGAAAAGTGGGATTAATGTATAGAGGTTAAGACTTTCTTTAATTTAGGTATTAAAAAGATTATATTAAATTATTGGATATTTAAAACTGGTAGGGATAATTACTGGGAGATTAATTTTATTAAATATATTAATTTATATAAATAGTATAATAATTTTAATAAATTTATTATTTTTAATGATTGCGAGGTAAAGAAGTTTGCCCGGGCTAGATTGATTAATATTTTTAAGCCCCTTAATAGAATTAATTGTAATTAGTATAATTGGACTTTTTAGTAGGAGGCGGTAATAATTTTCTATATTATTAGAGGAATTATGAGAATAGATAAATTAAACTTATAATTCTTAGAATTCTATATAATTATACAGTCGAATTTTTATATTGTTTAGGTAAATAAATATTAGCTCTAGTATAATAAAGAGATCGAGAGAAACCTTAATTTTAAGATTTCTTTCTATATTATGGCTAAGGATTTTTATAAAGTAGTAATAGCGAATATTATTTAGGGAAAAGGTTGTACCCCTTTATTTAAAAGTATTATATTTGTAGTTATATTAAGCGGTAAATCCGTTGAAGAGGACGCTCCTAATGATAAATAAAACTTTAGCCCGGAAGTAGAAGGATGGGGAGAGGTTATAAGTAAAAATAGTAAATTTAGGAAGAATATTAATAAAAATAAATATACTTCCTCTTTATCCTTATTAATGAATAAACGATTGCGACGATTCTTATATAAATTTTATAAGTAGCCAGGCTACAATTTAAATAAATATTATTATATTAAATTATAATTGGCCTACGAAGGTTAAATTGAAAATTCTATTATTAAGAAGTGTGAATACGCTAATTTAAAAATGGATAAAATATTTCAAGAAGCTATTAATTATTTACGAATGTAGTAGGATAATTGTCACGGCATGGCTAGATGGGTGCCCGGGGATATAGACATAGCATACCTAACAGTCGCAATATATCGGATAGAATAAGGCTTATGTTCTTATTAATAAGACCGTACGGATTAGGAAGGCGGGTACGAGTAGTAGATTTAACTTATATATTCAAATCTATAATACCCTCGTTCGTTAACCTTCTCTTTCCTTCTTTATACTTAACATTATTTTAATTTGTAGCTTCTAACTTTGCAATCGAATCTCTCATAAGATTACGCTTTGATATAATATTAAGTATTATCTTTTCTTTAACTAGGGACGGTACTAAATATCTTATACGAACTATTTTGGACTAAACGTTGCGAACAACCCTAAACCTAAATAATACTCGCCCTATTACTACGAATATTACGAACTCCAAATATAAAAATAATACGAATTGTTATAATGCGAATTAAATAATTATTTTTCCTATCGATTTAATATTATAGCGAAAGAAGTCTAACTCGGGAAAGCCAGCAATAATAATATTAATACTATATAACCCGCTTTCTACTCGAAATTAAAAACTCTTTATTAGCCTACGCGAATTAAATAGTTAATTAAGTATTTAAATTAATAATAATACTTAAAAGAGTCATTTTACTTTCCCGCTGACTTTTACGTAAAAGTGGACGATAATAAAATAAAGGATTCTACCTATGTCATGGGGCTAGAGCCTAAGGGTTAAATTTAGCTGATGCTAAGCCGTATCCTACATTATCAATAGGGAGCCTACCTTATCGATAGGAAGCTTGCCTTATTAATAGGGAGCCTACCTTATCGATAGGGATGCGAGCCTTCTGGTTAGCCAGACCCGTATAATTGCCTGGCCTGTACGCTCCAAGCGACCTGTACAAAACCTTCTTTTGACTACACCCTTCTGGTACAATCTTCCTTTTCCTCTTTGTTAAATATAGTATTTCAACCTTACACGCTTGCTCGCTGTGCTTTACTCTTGCAGACCCATTATAACCTATTACTTCGAACAAGAGAAATTTCTTCTCGAAGAATAATTAGACTTCAATTAAAGTCTAGATACTAGTAACTTCCCTCCCCTAAAGATTAACTTATTACAGGTCCTAGGAACCACTAAAAATACCACTCTTTGTACTATAGTAATTCTATTTTAAGGGTAGGGGTAAAATTTAATCCCCTTCGAATAATACTTTTACTTCGTCTTAAAAGGGGAAATCCGCTTTATAAAGCCCTTATTAGCTAATTAAATTACGGATAGTCAATTTTAATTTAAAACCCCCTATAAATAAACGTTATAAAATACTAACGATTAAAATTCGGCGGTAATCGCTTAGTATTAATAATTTGCCCTAGCCACCTCCCTTAAAAGACGGAAACGACCTAAAGGAATTTCGCAGAGCGACTTTATTCTTAGAAGAAATATATGATACTTTCGTCGAAAAAATTCATTTAATTACTTTCAATCTAAAATATTATTATACCCTCTAAAAAATATACGTCGACATTATAGAAAAATACGAAACCCTTAATTAAATATACTAAATAATCAGTTTTACTACTTTATATTTTTAACCCCTTACGTAAGTAAGCGAAGAATTTATAATTGCTT